ATGAAATGAATGAATGAATGAATGAATGAATGAGTGAATGAATGAATGAATGAATGAATGAAATGAGGGTATGGAATTAAATAATCAGTCTTGTGTCTTTGTCTCTAAATCTATGATCTCACAGAGATCTTGTTATTTAAAAGTACATGAATTTCTGCAGGTAGTTCAGTAAATCTGAAATGTGTGTCACTTTTCCCCAGGTGCAGTGCCTCCACTTTGTAGTTTAAAGGATGATCTTCTTTCTTACCGGGTACTTTGCCATGTTTATGCTTAATTTTCAGATGCATTATTTTATTCAAAGGAAAACAAATCCACCTCATACTTTCCAGACCAAAGATTAGAGGAACCAAGACCAGTTGTTCTAGGACCTGTAGACGAGTCCCCAATGAAGCCACCGATCCCCAAAGCCAGGAAATTGGTTTATACAAATATATCTAAGCCACAGCCAGATGACAACCGGTCTCTTCCAAAACTGGGCCAAAGGACAGATTCCCTGAACAGCAGAAGTGCCCCCCGAGGAATCCTGAAACGGAACTCCAGCTCCAGCAGCACTGATTCAGAGGTAGTTCGTTCCAGTTTCACCTTGGAACCCAAAAGTAAAAACCTGCCAGCCCAGTTTGTTATTCACGAGGGGAATTCTGAAAAGGACGATTGCATAGAAGATGAATCTCCCCAGAATCTGCTGGAGCCATTCAAACAAGTGAGATTTTCAGCAGTGAAGGAAGAAGTTTCTCAGGGTCCTGAGCTGAACCATGGCAGGGAAGTGGGAGAGTTTGGCCTCTTGGAGTCTGACATACCCAGGAGTGGAATGGAAGATGCCAGTGACTTGCAGGAGCTTCCGAACAAACCTGTGTTTTCCAGATACAGAAATCCAGCCCAACATATGAGTCCAGCCTCTAACTCTTACCAGATTAATGGAACCAGCCCATCGACTGAGAACATTTATGATCCGAAAACCTATACTGACTCAGAGATTTTAACCAAAAGACTATCTTTCAGTGAGCACTCACCCTCTAACAGAGAGTCCAAAAAGGCATCATCAAAGCAGTTGAGCCTTGAATCAGAGTTATGCAAAAACCCTGCTGGTAAGAAAGTTAGCTGTTAACTAGGGTGTGCTAATTGTTTAGAATCGCAGAGTTGGCCCTAAAGAGGCTGATTATTTCCTCCTAAGACTATGTCTGCAACTCTAGTACTTGCTACCTGTTATTATGCCAGTTAATAGGGAGATAGGCATTTTTACCAAAGCATGGATAACTACAGTCACAAAAGGAATCCTAGAATGTTAGAGATGGAAGGGATCCTAAGAGTCTCAAGAAAAGCAGAAATAGTACAGATGATCCAGCTAATAGTGTTTTTCTATAAAAATTGAACTCCAATAAAACAAAAGTATGCATTTAACTAAACTGAATTACCACCCTGGTTTTACAACCTAAGTAGATATATTGCAGAATAGAATTTAAAGTCATGGAAATGCCTAGGTACAAAATAAAACCCTGCTCCCTAAACTTAAACTTTCACGTTGTTGTTCAATCTGTTTGACTCTTCATGACCCCATTTGGGGTTTTCTTGGCAAGGACGCTGGAGTAGTTTGCCATTTCCTTTGAGGCAAACAGGATTAAGTGACTTCCCCAGGGTCACACAGCAAGTAAGTGTCTAAGGCCAGATTTGAGCTCAGGAAGATGAGTCTCCCTGACTCTAAGCCTAGCACCCTATCTACTGTCCCACCGGGCCACCTAGCTAGCCTCCATACAATATAATATGGCTTGGCACCCAATCCACTGGGCCATCTAGCTACCCCTGAAAATCCCAGACATTTGTCCTATTCTCAAAGTCACTTAGCCAGGATTAAATGAGTACATTTTGGTCACACTGAGCTCTTCTGAAGTAACTAGGCCCTTGTCTGAAAGTAGCTCGCTTAGTAGTCTCAGGGGAGGCTCTGGACACTTCACTCCCACTCCTAACCCTACCCCCCACCCCAGTCCCTTCCTCACTTTTCCCCTAGTCCCATTCTCTGTTCTCCCCTTCTAGGTCAAAAATGGGGGAAGGGGAAAGAGGGATGAAGAGGGTCTCTCTCTAATGGTATAAAATCTATATTTAAATTACGTGACAATTTTCTTCTAATCAGAAAAAAAGTTACCATAGCAACTAAGTTATTATTTTACTTCTCCCTTAAAAAAAATATTCCATTATGGACCTTAATACCCTTACTAAGCCCTGTAGTTTTACAGCTTGCTCAGATCAACTCTTTTCTACATTTAACAGCTGTGGGACACATAGTTAAGTCATTTTACTCTTGGACTCCAAAATTTCCTCTTTAGAAAGACAGGAGATTTTACTTGTGCTGAACATAGGTATACTGTCAGGAAGGTCTTTGTAAACCTTAAAATGCAGTAGAATTGAGACTTACTGCTATGTTATCATTAGATAGGGAAATGCTTTGTTCTTGGAATATTTTAAACACATCCAGCCATAAAATAGAACATTTAAAGACACAGTTTCATAGTAATTTCCTCACAGTGTCAAATGGAGTCATATTGTAAGAATTGCTATGAAAGTTTCAGCATGAAACTTCATCACACATCAGTTGTTTTTGATGTCCCTTAAGAGGACAGTAGGATCTGGAGATTTAAGGGACCTTACGGATCATCTATTCTAGCGGTTCCCAGATTTTTTGGTCTCAGAATCTCCTTTTTTGCTCTCAAAAATTCTTGAGGACCCCCAAAGGATTTTTGTTTATGTGGGCGTGCATTGATCAATATTTACCAGATCAGAAATTAAAACATCCTAGTACTACCTTGAAAGGAATTTTAACCTTTAGGATGAAGGGAATGGGTCTCAGGGAGCCTCCGAGTCCCCAGACCATTCTTTGAGAACAACTGATCTGTCCAGTGACTTCATTTTATAAAGTAGAAAATTGAAGGTCAGAGAAATTCAGTGACTCTTGCTCCCAGAGCCAAGATTCAAACTCATATTTTCCTATGCCAAATCTAATGTTCTTTCTACCACATCAAGCTGCTTCTCAAATATAAAATTATTTAATAAATAAAAATAGCTAGCATTTATATAGCACTTTAAAGTTTGCAAAGTACTTTATGAAAATCAACTTATTTTATCCTCAAAACAGCCCTGGGAGATAGAGATCAGTCATTTAGTCATAGGACAAAATATAAAGTTATTTGCTAAGAAATTATGATGTCATTAAGTAGCATTTACATAGTGCTTTAAGATTTGCAAAACCCTTTACAAAAATGATCTCATCTTTATAATAACCCTAGGAGGTAGGTGCTAGTTATTTTGTCATAGGAGAAAAGTATTATTAGTAATAATAATAAGAAAAAGAATACCTGGCGTTTGTATAGTTCTTCAGAGGCAGCTAGATAACTCAGTGGATAGTGCACTGGGCCTGGAGTCAGGAAGACCTGAGTTCAAATCCAGCCTCAGCCAGTCTCTAGCTGTGTGACCCTAGACAAGTCGCTTAACCCTGTTTACCTTAATCCACTGAAGAAGGAAATGGCAAACCATAACCGGCTCCTCTACTCTATTTGAAATGACTTGATTTATCTAAAATTAATTTTTGTACGTTATTCTATACAGGGGAACAGATGTATAGAATAATGTATGTAAATTATAATTTTGTAAATTAACTCTGATGTTTATATGTCTGTGTATTTGTCTTTGTCTAGGTCTATATACCTGAGTTTAGGGAAAGAAAACAAGAGATAGGGAGGCTTCAGAGCCCTGAGCCTTGATGAGCAGTCACACTCTTCCTTCCAGTTCTCCCATATGAAGGGGTACAATGTGCTTTGGAATTATTAAGTGAAGAGCGTGACCTTCCAGTCTTGCTTCATAGTATACTCAGTCTTAAGCCCATCCTAGCCTCACAGCTGCTGGCTTATTGGCAGCAGGAAATGGGCAGGGGACCAGTGTGTTCTTCATACTAACAGGCATTTAGCTGCTTTGCTACCTGTTTGATTCGTAGGGAGTACATAGAGAATAAGGAAAGAGTTCAGTTTGATAAACAGCTGAGCTGCATGGCATTTTCTAGCCACTGTTCCTCATTCCTGTCTCATTGAGACATTTTGGAATATGCTGACTTTTGATAGGCAGCCATTTTCTCCAACATCTGGCATTATTTAAATAGTTGAAGAAGTATTTGCAGCTCAATAAACATTCATCCTATACAATTAAATGAACATTTATTAAGAGCCTATTTTATGTAGCACACTGTGTCAGCGAAATGAGAAGGATGGGCAAGATGCAGTTCCTACCCTCATAGAGCTTACACTTTAATTAGGAATGTGACGTACAGACAAATAATTATATACAAAATGGTACATGGTAAGTCCATAAAGACCTCAAACAAAGGGCTTTGTGAGATCTGAGAGGGAAAGAGTCATTACTAGCCTAGTTATTACTAGTTGTAGGGCAGTGAGGTAGCGCAGTGGATAGAGCGCCAAGCCTGGATTCAGGAAGACCTGAATTCAAATCTGGCTTCAGACATTTCCTAGCTATGTGACCTTGGACAAGTCAGTTAACCCTGTGTGCCTGAGTTTTCTCATCTGTAAAATGTGCTTGAGAAGGAGATAGTAAACCATTCTAGTATCTTTGCCAAGAAAACCCCAAAATGGGGTCACAAAGAGTCAGACGTGACTGAAACGTCTGAACGACGACAAAAATTAGTAGTAGTATTGTGCATCAGAGTTGAAGGATTTGGTAGGAATGTAGTAGGTGCCTGTACTATTTTAATAGCCTCCTAATGTGTTTTCCCACTTTTTTCTCCATTATCTCCCAGCATTGCTGACAATATTGACAGAGAGCTTTGTTGTGCCCAAATCACTGAAGAACACACCCTAACCAAAACTTAATATTGGCCAACCTGTTTGCTCTTTTTTAATTTAGAAAAGCATTTTTGTTTCAGATGAGTGTCCACATTGGGTTGAACCTGAACCACCTCAGGTACAAGATCTCAGTCATTCTGCAGATCATCAGCAAGGTAAGCATATAGATTTCAAGGCTCTAAACGCTAAGACCTGTTCTCAGTATGATCAAAAAGCCACTGAGATAATGAAAGTGACTGACAAATCCATCTCTAAAGTCCTAGACTGGTTTAGCAGAAGTTCTAATCCTGATGCTGAAATACCATCCCTTCCACATCCTAAAGGGATGCAGTCTAAAGGAAAGTCAGGATCAGAATGGCAGAATAATAACACCATGGATATGGAAAATGCTGTCCTCCAGCAAGATGGCTTAAAGTCTCCAGTTTTCATGCAATGTGAAATGAAGGCTGTAGAAACTAGTTATTCATTCTGGGTGAAGGGAGACCTATTATCTTTTGAAAATGATGAGAACAGTGGCATAGAATTCAAGAAATCAGATGGCGGTGTTTTACCTACACAAGCTGGCAAAGAGAAAGGACAACTATCATCACCATTCAGAAATCAAAATCAAGGAAGTAAAAGTATTATTCCTATTCAAGACACAAAAAATCCAAATGAGGAAATAGAAACACATTTCCTAAACACTGACTATCCCTTTAACTTTTCCAAAGAATTAGATGCTGAGTGCCAAGCGTCATCCAAAGTAGAGGATTCCTCATACAAAGAAAAACTCAAGTTTTTTGTTAATGGAAAAAACAGAGGAAACTCAAAGATGGCTATTGACTCTTCTGAGAATAGTGGAGAACCCCAGTTAAAGCATAACATGGAAGCCAAAGGTAGAAGAGTGAAAAAAGCTGATTGTCTGTCATTTCCATCAGAGGGAGAGAATATCAGGTCACCAACTCTTACTGCTGATGAGGAATTTAGAGAAAAAGAATCTAATTTCCCCAGTCATGGCAGGCTATCTGCTCCTTGCAAGAAGCCAGAGGATTTGCAGCAACAAGAAGCCAGTCATCTACCTGGGAGTCAAGTTCAAAGGGAGGAATATAAAAGAGTAAGTGATCGGATATCCTTCTGGGAAGGAGGAGGGAAGACAGTTAAAGCTAAACTGACTGATAGGGTGCCCAATTCAGCAAGAAACCAGGTACAAGTGCCTGCTACAGTAAGTTGGCCTGTGAAGTCAGTGGATTTGTCTGTGAAAAATTTGACTGAAGACCAGAATGAGTTTAGCCAAGTCATTGCCAAAAGGGTGGACCTAATTAAGAATGGTCAGATATCTTATGGCCCTGGCTTTTATTCCTCAGTTAACTCTGAAGGGTTCAATCCCCATATTATGGGAACATCCAGAGGGTATCCCTCAGTGGACCAACCAGGTAAAATACCTTCATTTCAAAGTGAATCTGTCAAACTTCCTATGACAGATAATTTGCAATCCAAAAGGGGCATGACTTTTTCAACATCAAAACATGATTCTCATGAAAGGAATGAAGCCTACTCCCATTTGGAAAATGACAGATCTTCCATAGCCCAACCAAACCCTAACTTTAAGGTTTGGACCTTGGAGGAGAGGATGAATGAAAACTTCCCAAAGCAGATTAACAATCTTTCACAGTTTCAGAATTTGAGAAACTTTTGGGACATGGGAACTAATTCACTTAGTACAAACAACAGCACTCATCCAGGTAGTAAAAAATCACTGTCTTTAGATAGTCAGAAAGAGAAGGAGTTGGATGAAACTGAGCTAACAAAAGAAAAAAGTGCCTCAGCAGGACAGGGCCTTCTAAAACAAGACAAAGCATCATATGGGGAGGAAATAAGGGAGCAGGATTCAAAGCTGACTCCTCGGACACTTTCCGATGAATCCACATTTCCACTGAAATCACCAGCAAAGTCCACTCAACTGCCAAAGAATGTGCCATCAAAAGAAAATGTGGATGAGCACCTCGACTGGTTGGTCCCTCCGATGTTCAGGGAAGAAGGGCATTTCTTGAGGGAAGAAGTGAAGGAATCAGTCATGAAAACAAGTGTTTTGCCTAAAGAATACCAAGACACCTTTAATAGAAGTTTAAAGAAACTACTTGAGGGAGCTCCATCACTGTCATTTCAGCCAGTGGGTGACAAAGATACTCCAGAAAATGGGCATGAGCCGAATCTTCCTAAAAATAGAGTCTGTCTCCAGGAGACAGATTTGGCTGATTTTGAGAAAAGATCTGAGTCTATAAAACAGGTCCCAAAGACAAGCACAGCCAGCACCCTATACTCACCAGAAGCTACATGTAAACCATTTGTTCCCAGGCCAGAAAAATCACTCAAGGAAGCATCTGAGCTTCCATACTCTTCTAGTCAAGTCAGGTCAGCAACTATTTCCACTGGGACTAGTTCTTTGTCAAAGCAGACAAGGTTTTTTGAAAAAGTGATGGAGCGAAGTTATAACTATTTGTTTCATGAAAGGGAAGGGGGGATACTTCTTAAAGATGTGGGAGATGCCTCGGATAATACTGTGGCCCCCCTCAAAATAAAAAGCAGTGATTGTAAAATAAGTCAGAAAGGACTACCACAGAAAGCTCCTGCCCCTTCCCATTCATTATATCAGACTGCTCACCTTAAGGACTCTTTTGGGGAGGCAGCCAACTCTCCCCAAGAGATGTCTTCTTTCCACTCTGCTTATGCTGCCCTTTGTAACAAGGGAAAGCCTCTGCAAAGGGAAATTTCAGAGACTATGGAAAAAACAGTTCTCCCTAAAATGGAGTTGGATGATTTGAACACTGCATTGGAGAATCTTCACAAGGAAGCCCAAGAAGATGTGTTGAATTCCACCAGAGACAGAAGGACAGTTCTTGGAGAGCAGCAACCAGGGATCCCCGAAGGTGGGACAGGAACACAGAATCAGATAAACTCTCCAGTTTGGTTGGCTGGAGAGCCAGTGGTTCCAGAGGAAAAGAGTTCCCAGCCTCTTGACATGGGCCTAGAAGAGCCTAGAGAAGAAGCATTGGGTATATTTCCTGTACATTGTTGTGATCCACCTCACCTGGACCAATCTCTTAGCCTGCCTGGCTCTACTAGTTACCAGCATTCCAAAGAATCACCCCAGGAAATATCAGAAACTCTGACAAAAACCATCATTCAGCCTAAAGCCACACTTAGAGAATTTGATATTGGCTTAGAAAAACTCCTTAGAGAAGCCTCAGAAAGCCCTCCCTTGAAACTGGGAAATGATAAAATGAAGACATCTGAGGCTAAGTTGATAGGTGGGTCAGCCTTTCCCGGTCAGACTGCTGACCAGGAAATTCAAAGCCCAGATTTCCTTGAGAAAATCAGGGAAACGATAGAAAAGTCTTTGGCTCCTTCAGTAGTTGAAAGTGCATTTGACTTAGGTTTCGAGAAAATCCTTAAGGAAGCCCCTGTGACAGAAGAAAAGGGAACTCTGAGTATCGAGTCCTCACCATCAGAGCAAGGAAAGCTGTCTAGAAAAACGCCTCATTTGTATTCATGGAACCCAGGAGATGCTAAGGTGAAGGTTAAGAGTAAAGTTTTGAAACCAAAAGGCTGGAAATTCATTGAAGACAAAGCAGAGGCCAATGGTGAAGGAGGGCCGCAGGATTCTGAAAGTAGAATGTGTAACCCAGGCACTGTGCCAGCAAAGAATGAACTTAAAGAGAATGTCTTTGATGGAGAGCCTGGTGATTCTGCATGTGGGGCCACAGGAGAACAGGTTTTTCTGGTCACCAATGAAGACCCATCTGAAAAACAGCATTGGGCCACATGCAGGTTCCCCAGTGAGCCACTTTCAAGAGAAAAGACATTTTCTAAAATAAGCAAGGTTGAACTGCTTCCAGAAACACCATACAAAAGAGGAGAAGAAAGAGGAAGCTCCTCTGGTTCGGATTTTTCAGATGAATACGTCAGCTCTAATACAGACAGCTGGAGAAGTTCTTCCCGTGAGCATTTTGAGTTTTTAAAAATCTCTAATTTTTCTTTTAAAGAGAAATATGGCTACTGTTATGTGAAGTTAACTGTGTAAAGGCTGGCTTTGGGGTCAAGGAAGACTTGGATTTAAGCCTTGCCTCTGGCACAGACTAGGAAGTCATCTTACCTCTTAGTGCCCCAGGCTACTCCCCCAGACTCTAAGTTTTAGATAAATTGTTGATCTCTATCAGTAGTAGGAGGGAATTTTCACTCCAGCAGTGATAAAATCACTTCTGGATACCATCTTATCATTCCCCCAAATATAGAGGATTGTTAATTATGATATCACTTAAAAATAAGATTTACTTGGCTTTCTCTAACATATAACCCTTCCTTTGTTTGTTTATAGGAGTCATGAATGACTATCCTGTGAGGGGGGTAACGATTAAATAAGATGAGTCCTCTTGTGGGGTCCAGACTTATTGCCTCATTTGTAGAAGGCAGCAAAGTCTAGTAGAAAGAACATGGAAGGAATTGCTCGGCGGTGCAGTGGGTAGACCAGTAGGCCTGGAGTCAGGAGGACCTGAGTTCAAATTGGGCCTCAGACACTTACTAGCTGTGTCATGCTGGGCAAGTCACTTAACCCCAATTACCTCTCCCCCTCTCTTGGGGGGTGGGGTATGGGGCAAAAACCATGGGATACAGTCACAGGACCTTGGATCCATTCATGGCTTTGCCACTTACTACCTGTGTGGCCTTGAACAAGGTAATCAGCTTCTCAGGGTCTCAGTTTCCTCTTCTGTAAATGAAGGGATTGGACTAGATGATTTCTAAGGGCCCTTCCAAGTTTAAATATATGATCCTCAATATCATGATGACTGGGGCTTTGAAAAGAAATACATGTCTTTCTATCTGTCTCTCAGTTCAGTCGTTTTCAGTCATGTACAACTCTTTGTTACCCTGTTTGGAGTTTTCTTGGCAGAGATACTGAAGTGGTTTGCCATTTCCTTCTCCAGCTCATTTTACAGATGAGGAAACTGAGGCAAAGAGGGTTAAGTGACTTGCCCAGGGTCACACAGCTAGGAAGTATCTGAGGCCAGATTTGAACTTGGGTCTTTCTGACTCCAGGCCTCTATCCACTGTACCACCTAGCTAGCTGTCTGCCTGCCTGCCTGTCCATATGTATATATATATATATGTGTGTGTGTATATGTGTGTGTGTGTGTATGCATACACATACATATATACACACATATATACAAACTAAAATATATATATAATATATAATATATATATATATATATATATATATATATAATTTGCCTCCATCTGTTTGTTTCTCCATCTCTATCTTCCTATCTATACATACATCCCTATCTCTCTCTACCTCTCTCTCTCTTTCTCCATCTCTCACTTTCTATCTATCTATCCATCCATCTCCACCTGTGTATCTGTCTGTTTCTATATCTATCTGTCTGTCTACCTGTTTTAGGGGTGTGCTGGAGCCAGCTCAGGAGAGTCATTGTTAAATTTGAAGTGTGAACAATTTACATCTCAAAAATTTGCAAATGTTACAAGTCAGAGCTGGGTTTATTGTTTTGTAGGACTTAAGAAATTTATTGTTTTGTAAGACTTAAGAGAAATGGAGATGTCAAGTATTGCAGATTAAACTGAAAAATGTGTCGTGCATGCATATTTTTTCTTAAGGCCAGTTGTTAACCATTTACCAGCACACCCCCATATCTGACTGTTCATCTGTCTATCTATATCTATGTGCATTTATGTATTAACTATTTACCAAAAAGATTCATTATCCCTTCCATGTAGAATCCTCCTCCACTGACCCATATTACAGCACCCCTATACTCTGAGGAGACAAGTCTTCATGGATTGCTATAGCCCCTTCATGACTCCTTCAAAAGTCACCAAAGTGGTGGTCAGGCTTTTTGTGACGAGCCTTTCTGACCTAGGCCTCTCCTTGGGCAGTGGACACATAGGCCATTGCCAGCTTCATACTTGGAACTCTTGCATCTTGGAGAGGACCTGACAGGGCTTAGGCTGTGCTGTCAAAGCCTCCAGGAATCCAAAGTCAGCTCCATAGTAGAAGCTGAAGAAGCTGGGGAAGCTTTAGTGGGAAAAAAAGCCCAATGTGTCTCACAGACACATTCTGTATGTTAGTTTGGGCACCTGTAGACAAATACATAAGGTGATTACATTGTTAACCATCCTCTATGTTAATATTTCATTATGTATTCCCCCATAAAAATGCATCGTATTTGAATTTTTGTTGGTTTTGCGTCCCTTAAAAAAACAAATGATATTGGAGGTAGTTAGACTTGCTAAAACATTCTCCTAATGGGGAATAATGAGTAGTTTTTTGGTTTGCTTATGAGAAAATGACTCACTTGATGGAGTTTCTTTAAGTGGGGCTGCCATGGAAGCCTCTGTGGCACAAATGGGCCCCATATTTGGGTTTCAGGAATAGTTTCATCATAATGTTGGTGAAATACCAGGGAGCAAGAGCCATAGAATTGCTTTTTCCTCCAATACTTCATCTAAGAGGAAGCCCTAAAATGATTCCTCTTGAGATGGTTTGAAACTTGGGAAATAATTTTCACCTTGTAGCTGAGGAAATCTAATAATCTCCATTGCCCAGAGTGTGCACTGGTTCTCCTTGGACTGGTTCATTTGCCTGTCCTGTTTCATCTTTTGGGGAATGGGAAAAGGGAAATCGTAATAACAAAACTCTAAGCCCTGTCTAAATCTTTGAGTCTAACCCTGGTTCAGCCAACAAACATCTGAAATCATTGCCACCTGTGGTTCCATAGATGTGGGAAGCTACTCTGTTTTCACAGTTTTGTCATACAACGTGTAGATATCCTTATTCCTAGCTTGATCAGTATCTCATTTTGGCAGAGTCATCAGAAGCAAATGGTTAGTGAGAAAGGAAGTGATTAGCATGAATCATGGGTAATGGAGGGTGCTCTGGAGCCCAGCCTAATGGTACCATAACTTCCCATAATCAACATTTTCCCCTCAGTGGATGGCTAGAATTTCAAGAATTTTCCATTGCCCTTCTCATTCTTGGTAGAAATAGAATGACTTCACTCTGTGTGGCAAAATTGTGAGTTCTGGGTTAATCTGACCAACAATTATGAGGCTCATCTTTCAGCAGCCAATTGGGGATTACACCCATTCATGCCAAATGATTCACATTATTACAGACTTGGAAGGGGCCTCAGAAGCCATCTGGTCCAACAATCTTTCTGAACTCTCCCTGACAGGCGGTCATCCAGTGTAAAGACTTCTTATGAGAGGGAACTCAGCTGTCTTCTCAGGCAGCCCATTTTCACTTTTGGGTATCCCTGATTGGTAGGAAGTTTTTCCTTACATTGATTTGAAACCTACCTCTGTGAAGCTTTCATTAGTCACCAAAAATCTATTAAGTACCAGCTGCATGTCAGGTGCTAGAGATACAAATACAAGAGTGAAGATGATCCCTGGCCTCAGAGAGCTTACACTCTAGTGGAGGGAATCTACATGTTCACATTTAAGTAAATGCAGGAAATAACATAAAATAAATGCTGCGGCAGGTGTGGGTGGAGTCCAGTGGAGAGCTTTGGCCTAACCAGTATAAGTATCCGGAAAGGGGATGCTTAGACTGAGCCATTGTGGGAGTTGTGGGCTCCAAGAGGCAAAGGGAGAGAGAGAGAGAGCATTGTAGGTGTGGCTATAAAGGCAGAGAAGTGGAATATGAGTGTGCTATGCAAGGAATAGCAGATAGTAAAGAAGGAAGGAAAAGAAGGGAATACACATGTATTAAGCACTTACTGTGTGCCAGGAACTCTGCGAAGCAATTTACAAATGTTATCTCATAACTCTGGAAGGTCGATGCTATTATTATCCCCATTTTGCAGATGAGGAAACTGAGGCAGACAGGTAAAATGACTTGCCCAGGATCACACAGCTAGTACGTGTTGGAGGCTGGTTTTTAACTTACATATTCTTTTTTTTTTTGTGAGGCAATTGGGGTTAAGTGACTTGCCCAGGGTCACATAGCTAGTGAGTGTTATATGTCTGTGGCTGGATTTGAACTTGGGTCCTCCTGACTCCAAGGCCAGAGCTCTATCCACTGTGCCACCTGGCTGCCCCTAACTTATACATTCTTGACTCCAAACCTAGCACTCTAATTAGCTTCCATTTTGGCCAGTTGGCTAGTTTTGTTGGAACATAAACTTATATAGGAATGGGCATAGTGTACACGTAGTGTGGAAAAGTAGGATGATTCCATCAAACGTTTCTAGTTCCGCCCTCTTGGGCTAAGCAGAACAAATCTAATCCTTTTCAAGTGTGGTAGAACTAGAAGTCATGGATTGAAACTGAAAAAAAAAAATCAGATGGAGACTTGATTTAAGGAGCCATCCAGTTTGAGCCATCCCAAAGTGGAAGGGGCTGCCATGAGAGTTTCTGAGTTCCCCATCCCCTTGTGGCCTTTAAACATGGTCTAGATGACTGTTAGTTGGACCATTTTGTTGTAGAGGGAATCCTTTTTACACAATAGATTGACCACACAGCTTCAGAGGTCCCTTTGAACTTGGAAAGTCTGTGATTCTGAAAATAACCTACAATGAGAGAGTCTTAATTCTGAAAGAGGAAAAGAGCCTTTTTTTGTGTTGAAAGTACCAACGATGTGGAGGCAGTACCTCCACAAGCTAGGCATGATCTAACAGAAACATCCATTCTCACAGAATATACACTCATGGTAAAGATGTGAATCCTGTCCTTGAGAAGAGTTGAAGTTCATTTTTTTAAAAAAAATTCAATATATTGCCTCGGTATTGGCATATGAAATGGTAGGTTTTGAATGTGACACTATCCAAAACCTGGACACCCAAAAAAGGTCTGTACTGATGAGTGGTCATCCTAATTATTTTATTTTTGTCTGTTATTGCCTTTCTAAGTATTTCTTAACCAGCACAGTATATAGCTAAATCCTGATTAGTACAAAGAGTGAATCCCCTGAAGTCTACACATTCAAAATTATAACTATGTAAAATATGGTCATTGGTTTCATCTCAGTGGAAATATGCAGTGTGAATTTGAACCACTTCAGGGAGCTTCATCATTTGTAGTAATTGGGACCTACCTATAACTTAAAAGAAAAGAAAGAAAGGAAAGCCCCAGAAATCATAGTACATGCTTTGTAGAGGTAAAATTTCTTTGTTATGGGAACTTGGAATTCTTTAGCACGATTATAGGCAAAAAGGGCTTGATACTTTTCACAAGGTAACATACCAGTCCTTGATACCTAAGACAGTGGTGGTGAGGGAAGGTATGGGCAGCATTTCACAATTTTTGTCTCATGACAGGTTCAGAAGAGTCAAATCCTGTTTTGAAGGCTTTGAAAAGGAATGCTGCTAGGAAAATGCCTTCCCAAAGCCTAGAGGACATTCCATCAGACACATCAAGTGAGGATCAAGCTTGGCCTGCTGCTCATGCCTCATCTGAGCTTCCACATGCCTAAGTGCTAGGCTTTGGCCCAGCTGCACGGAGTTCCACACACCAGCCCCTAACTTGGGTTTAGGCAGCGACTAACAAAATGACTTTTCATGAAGCTCACCCAAGGGCAGCTGCAGCTTTGCTTATGAAATAACAGCATGGGGAGGGGCTTCTAGAATCTTCGTTTTCTGGAATGGTATTTTAGGACCCTGGGATTTAGACCTGAAAGAGAGGTCTCTTGTCTAGTCTAACCCCCTCCCTTTCCAAAGAAACTGAGGCTCAGATAAGGAAAGTGACTTGTCCAAGGTCACATAGATAAAAAGCAGCAGAACTGAGATTTGAAAGCCATATCCCTGTGAATGTCTTTTCAAACATCCTAGTTTGAGTACTTATTCAACCACCGTCAACCTATTTACAAAGGAGTTCCCTTTCAACATCCTCGTGAGGCAGGTTGGGGAAGTATAACATATACCCACATCTGTATATTTTTTCTAGAGCTGTGATTTCAGCAAGGTGAAGAACTCTGCAGATGAGCACCTTCCTTGTACCTTATAGTCTGAGAAAGTTGTCTTGATGCACTGAGGGGCTAGTGACTAGCTCAGGGCAGTATGTGTCAGAGGCAGGACTTGAACCCAGGTCTTCATGACTCCGAGGCCAGCTCTCTTTCCACTACAGTATGCTCACCAGAGCAGTATGGTTTTTCATATTTTACCATGAGAAAACCAAGTCTCAGAGAATCTGTGATTTAAGTGACTCAAGGTAATACATCCAGAAAGAAAGTGGCAGAATCTTGATTCCAACTCTGGCCTCTTGATTCCCCATCTTGAGTTTTTCCCACTCATACTGCCCTGCTGTGGTGCCATGTAGCTGTGGAGTGAGGATGTGGTGCATGGCCTTTGTGTTAGGTGCCATGCAATTGCTGCATAATATGGAGATGGAGAACTAGTTCCTGGCTTCAGAGACTTATTTCTAAGTTGTCTTTATTCTCTTTCCTCTCCCTCCACCCCTACTCCAACAAGTTTATCTTTTGTCTTCTATTTGAACATAAGGCTTGGTCATTCAAAGACTGGTTAACCGTGCTGCTCCCCAGTGGCTATATTGCCATGAGCACATGCTCCTTTGACTAGCCTGTCAGCCGGCACATATCTTCTTGAGCATAGTAATGTACAGGGGTACTCGTATATCCCTTAGACAAACTTGAGAAGCCTGGCTGCCACTTTTTCTTGAATATAAGAGTTTATATTCAGCATGAGCTACCAACAAAGGGTCACTCCATTGCCAAACCATGTTGAATTCATCTAGTTGTCAAATAACCAGTCTCTTCCAGACTCTTTCCAGACTGCTTCTCAGTCAGTAAAATCAGCATTAAAACCAAAAGCAGCATCTTCCCCCCCAAACAGCTGCCTCCATCTGGAGCAGCACAGATCTCTGAAAGTCATCTGCCTGACTCAGATTTCAACATCAGCCACCTAAAGAATCTTAGGGTGTTAAGAGGTTGTCTCACCCAATGCAGGAATCTAGTCTAGAAGCTTTCCAACAGGTGGTCTCTGCTGGAACAATGCCTGTGACTGGGAGCTCCCTGCTCCCCAAGGCAAATCGTTTCTTTTGGGAACAATTCTCATTGTCAGCAGGTTGATTGTTTCCCCCTTCTGCCTTTTATTGTTGGCACTGAGGAGCACAGCACAGAGTCAAGGATTGTTGTTTAGTAAAACTGTCTTTTATATGGTGGCCATTTCCATTTTTAAAGTGTCCAGGGATGTTTAGGGTTAAACCAAAATCATATTCAAACTGGTATCCCTGCACACTGCATTTCAAATGCTGATGCCCTGCTCTCGCTGCAGCCTGCCAAAATTCCACTCAGCAGCTGGTCCCCAAGCAAGGTCCCTTAGCTTGCCTTCCCAAGGCTTGTGGAAAGGATGATGCGTACACACAAATATTTGTCACGGGCCGTGGGTTTGGGAAGGTGTTATCATGACCAGCATTTTCTCCTCTTCTTTGTTCATTTCAACGGAGAGTGTTCCAGCCCTGTGCTTTCTGCTGCTGCCGGCCCGTCGCTTGCTCTGCATTAACCCACTGACCCTTGGGAGTCATTCTTACAGCATTGTAGTGATGTAAACTGCATCAGCTCTGAAATGGGAGCTCCTGCCGTGGCACCGGGCTCGAGTGGCTAATCCAGAGGGAAAGTATTGGGGGGAAGACATCTTGTCTGGTCCTATAGCCTGCCTTCACCCAACCCCCACCCCCGTCGCTCCATCCTGAGTAATTTCTGCTAACTCCTTGGGGGGCAGCCGACGAAACGCCCGCCTCCCTGAGATGCATGTCATTAACCTCGTGTTACTTTCTCCTGCACAGATCAAGGCAAAGTAGATTTTCTGCCAGAAGACTTAGTGCGTAGTGCTGAAGATGGTAAATATCTTATCTGTTTATGCATGCCTGTCTTAGGCTCTGGGGTCCCTCTGACAGCAGCCATAGTGACACTCACTCTTGGCAGGTATAAGTAAGAGCTTGCCATCGGGTGATCAGAGATGCCTAAGGAACATAGGGTCTTGGCTCTTTTTGCTTTATGTATGACTGGTCTTATTCCAATGCTTCTGATGTCCATTGCTTCAGGTCAGTGAGAAACTCTTAAGAATGAAAGCCTCCAGGGACAAGGCTGGGGGCTTTAAAAAAAAAAAAAGGAAATTGCATTTCAAGATGCTTGTCTTGATTCTTTCTTGATGAAGTGTTAAGAAGAAAAAGCCCCTGGAACCAGTGAGGAGTTGTGTGGGTGGGACTGGTTCTGTGGGTGAATTATTCATACATTTGGCTACTGCTGTGTTGGGGCTGTGTGAGGAACAGTGTGACGGAAGAGGAGCAGGGCCTTGTTTTCTCATCTGTACAATGGGGCTAATGAGACTGGCTCCACCTCCTTTATGAGGCTATTGTGAGGAATGCAGAATGGGATCTGCAGTTTTATTCCAGTCACCTTCTCGACCAGAAGGAGATCCTGCCCTAGCACAGCAGGGAAACCCAGGTTACTGAAAGCTAAGAACCTCTCGAAAATGAAAAGACTTGCTTTAAAATGGAGGTTCTCACACTTTTTGTGTCACTGATTCCTTTGGCGGGCTAGTAAAGCCTCTAGACCCTTTGTCAAAATAATGCTTTTAAATGCATAATTGAAGGAAATGCTAAATTTTAATTAGAGGTTAGCTTAAGTAAAGGTGTATTTTTCGCCATGGACCCTCTGAAACATATCTACAGACCCTTTGGGGGTCCATGGACCCCAAGTTAAAATACTGTGCTTGAAATGTCCAGAAGGTTGACTAGTCTAAATGTGATATAAATTGTAGACCTAGAAAGAGGTGCTGGATATAATTTGGTGCAGCTTGAAATCTGTTTGAATAACATTGCCTCATCAGGGGCAGGGAAGAAGACAGACCTGAAATGAATCTTAAATCTTTTTTAAGGTTTGGAAATGTGGCTTTAGAATTTACAAACATGTTACTTATATTCACACAGAGAGTTCTTTGTTGTTGTAGTTGTATTGTTGTTATTGCTATTGTTGTTGCTTGCTACAGTGTTAAGTCTTAGAAGTGTATGCTTTGTAAGCCTTGTTACATCAAAGCAAGAGGATTCATTTTTAAAAGCCCAGTACTATCAAACTTCAAAATATCCATGATTCCATTGGTACAGGTATTCCCACTAGTGATGCAGATGATAGCCTACCCTTCCAAACCTTAGTAGGCAATCTATTCAGTGTTCTCTGATACCTCCCCCCCCAAAAAAAAGAGAGAGAGAAGAAAGCATCTGATGTCTGACCCTACAGTAATGAGAATATTTTCCATCTCTGACATTTAGCTCTAGTGATATCTTTTTTAAAATATTTGATTGTTATTTTATCCTTAAAACAAGCAGTAGCCATATCCCCGTTTTACAGATGAGGAGGACATTGAGTTTCAGAAAGTTTGTGTGATTTCCTCAGCGTCACAAAACTTTCTTAGTGGAAGGGTTGGGACTTGAATCCAGGTATCTCCTGGATCCTGATCAGATAGCCTTTCTGCTGAATCATGCTGCTCTCCTTTACCTTAAAGCAAGTGGCTACTCATGCCCATTTCTACATGGTGGACATGTTTTTATTGGTACTGAAGACCTTTTTACAAGTTGGTAATTTTACATATTTCTCCAGGGTCAGAAATTATCTAAAATGTTCCATGAGGAATTACCCTGAGGAAAAGAGCGTGAGTTCTGATTCTGATAGAGTCCTCAGTCTTGATTAGAGATATTGTAACTTTCTCTTTTCATGCATTTTTAATCATTTTGTTAAAATGTTATTCTCAATGTTGCTCTTCTGAGCAGATCAGAAAACAGATCAGCAGCAAGATACCAATGAATACATACCAGGAAGTGAGTAGCTGGACCCTAACAGCAAGCACCTCAAAGAGCAGAACCTTGGCACCATATTAAGTGTCTAGCTCTGTTAAAAAAAAAAAAAACTAACTCCATTAATAATGCTGTGTGTCTGTTACTAAATACCTGCAGCTCACCAAACTATTTCATTGTCAGGGTCTGAACTGTAAGCATGAAAGTACTCTCTGGAGGACATTAACTCAATTCATCTTGAGGCTTATAAATGGAAAAAAATGCATTAATGTTGAATCTTGTTTGCTTTTCAGGAGTATATCTGATACTCACTGGGTCCTGTTGGGTAGAATGGCCTGCGTGACTTGCTTACAGTTAAACAGAGTCCATTTAGGGCCACATGGCTCTTACATGGTACACGGAATGTTAGAGCTGGAAGGAACCTTAGGGTGTAAAATATTAGAATATAGACTGTTCTAGAATAGCTTCTTAACCTGTTTTGTATCACGGACCCCTTTGGTGGTCTGATGCCCTCTTATGGTAATGTTTTTAAGTGCATAAAATAAAATCCATAGGATTGCAAAGGAAAACAGTTATATAATATAATTGTTATATAATTATATGTTATATAATATAAAATATTACATAATTTGTATACTATATAAAATATATAATTATATGATATAAAATATTGCATAATTACTTAAGTTATATAATATAATATAATATAATATAATATAATATAATATAATATAATATAATATAATATAATATAAATAAATAATATAATATAATTGAAATAGTTATCAAAATATTTTTAAAGACCAAATTCATAGGCCTCACTGAAATATATCCATACACCATGGAGCCCGAGTTAAGAACTCCTGATCTAGATGGAAGATCCCTTAAAAACAGAATGTTAGAACAATGGAAGATAACTTAGAGGTCACAGAGTCCAACCTCCTTCATTTACATATGAGAAAACTGAGGTGAAATGCTCATCCCGCAGTTACATAGCTAGTGACTGGCAGAGCCAAGATGGAAACCCAGTATTCTTGCCACTTGGTACAGCCATCAGCTGCAGGTTTCTTGTACTTTTAGCATCAGACTATAGAATGCTCAAATTGACCCTTTTTGCATGTGCCTTTAACAAGAATTAGATATTTCCAATTCCTATGAATTCCTATGTGTTTGTGTATATGGATTTATGTTTACAGCCATATACAGGCATCTGTACATTGTGTATAATTCTAGCTGGCAGTTCCATTTGGCCTTGAGCACTTTGGAATCAACAGAGATGTTAAATTTGAATTGAGGTAGCTGATGTCGGAAGTGCTAATACAGTGATAGGCAGAAAGTTAGGAGACCTGGGTCTGAATCTCATCTTTTCCACTTACTGCCTGTGGCTACGTGGATTAACCTCTCTGGGCCCCAGGCTTCTCATCTATAAAATAAGGAGTTGAACCTTTGAGGTCCCTTCCAGCTCTAAGGCCACATCTCATGAGAACAAACAAATGCTGTGTCTGATGTCTTCCAGGGGCTAGCGTTCCTCAATCAACTAGCAAGTAGTCACTAAGAACTATAAATGGTAGTTCACTTTTTTTTTGGACTTTCAGCACTTTTCAAAGTGCTTTCTCTACAACCGCCCTATGAGATAGGCAGTGTGGGGAAAGTAGTATTGCCCTCACGCTAAAGACAGATGAGGAGAAGAAAGCTCGGAAAAGCAAATAAGACTTGCCCAGCATCTTGTAAATGGCAGAGCCAAGACTTAGACACAAATCTTTTGATTCCCCCTCGACATACACCTACCCTAATTACTGCATGGCTCAATAAACTAATCATGAAATTAAGACCAGATAAGACCGTCGTCTTATGGAAACTTTCACTCTCCCTCAGCACATAGCATAGTGTTCTGCATACACTAGGCTGCTATTAAATGTTCCTGGATATGGACTTGACATCTCAGTGCAGATGCTGGCTATTCATTTGAGCCTCTGTTGATGGGCTGTCACCTGTGGCCTACAGCCTGAAATCAAAGGTTGGCCTATTCGATTTTTCTTCCAAGCCTGAGTTGAAGGTTCTATGTTTCCTCTGCTTCAGCTCATGACATGACAAAAGACTAGAACAGAAAAAAGAGGGAAGGAAACCCAGGCCCTGAGCCCTTGTTGGGGTTCTGTCGGGAGAAACGCAGCCTTCTGCCTGCAGACGTTTGGCTTTTCCAATTGTGTTTTGAAGTGTCTGCGGTAAGGCATTTTATTTCCTCTTTTTGGCTCTTGCCCCAAAATTGGCCTGGAAAGCGAAATAATAGGCATCTCCTCCTCTTCCCAATTACCCAATTGGCTGAACACTTGGAGAAAGCAGAATCTAGAGTCATGTGTGAGCCTAGGTTCCTGTACTTCTCTGTAAATGAAAGTAGAATGTTTGTTTATCCTTCATGCTCAAAGAGAGCTAAAATGACATCACTATGTCAGGGTACAATGTGTCTGGCTGTGGCTGATCATGCCAATATGAACTTGGAAGGTTCCGCTACAGGCCAGGTACAGATAGGTCCCCAGGAAAGAAGATCCAGGCCCTGGCTCACAAACTGCTCCCAACACATGCTATATACCCAATAGCCACTCCGTTACTATATTTAAGCCAGTAGCTGTATATTTCTCCGCAAGATCCAACCTTTTGTGCCCTGTTAAAAATCAGTTGACTAGGATATAATTGCAGTATTTAAATTCTGAACAAATAATACAAGCAGGTATTTACATGACACTTTAGGTCACACAAGCACTTTACCTATATTAGCTCATTTGAATTTGGCATCAGCCTTGTGAGATAGGTAGGTAGTACAAAGTATTATCCCACTTGTCCTAAACTCAGGTCTCAGGGAAGTTTGCCCAAAGATAACATAGTTGGGAAGGAGAAGAACCGATACTTGAACCCAGGGCTTTTTGACTCCTAAGCCTAACACTCTGGACTTAGTTCATTTACTTATTCCTAAATCCATTAGTTTTGTGCTGCCTTTAAAAAAAAAGCATGAAAGAAATGGAAATAGGCCTGGTTCAGAAATTTATTTTAGGTCACATGATAGATAAATATGAGTTCTCAGGACATCCGCAAAGGCATTTTCTGATTTCATGGAGCCTAAGCTCATGTGGAAGTCAGCAAAGTTCCCATGAAATTTCTGTAAAAATGGAATTTCACTGAAGTAGGTACCATTCCAGTATAACAATAAATGGGCCATTCATCTAAGTGATGCTGCCTTACATCAGAGGAGATCAGAGCCAAGAAAGGACCCTAGAGACCAGCTAGTCCAGCCTTGCATCTCTCCCAATTTTTTTATCTGCTAGTTATACTTCTGTGTCCCTACTGTTAGAAGATACTCTATAGTATAATAATAATATCTGGTAAAATAGCCATTAAAAATCTGTCAGTTTGTCCCTTATTATACATTGTTTGAATACATTATTAAGAACTAGGGCTCAATTTGAGCATATTTTGAGTCATTGCCACGAAATGCAACCCAGGTCCCTTTGACTATTTTAAACTGATGTCATGGGATTATAAATTTAAAGCTAAAATGGCTTTTAGAGATTGTCTTCATTTTATAGGAGAGGAGCTAAGGCCCAGAGAAATTCTGTGACCTGCAGATAGGAAGTAGCAAGAATAAGAAGCTGAACACAGCTGCTCTTACACCAAATTCAGCATTCTTTCTATGAAAAGCTACATGCTGGTGATATCAGTAGGGTGGTTTGTGGTGGCAGAAGATTTAAAGTAAGAGAAGAGCCTGTCATTTTTACATGTAAATCCTTAAAATTAGGAATGGGACATATCTATAAAGGATCCATTCTAGGAGTATGTAGGCAGCATTTTCGGGCTCAGGGTTTTCTTTGGGTTTTCTCAATAGGTTCTTTGGACAGATCTAGTTGGCCTTAGGTACTTCTCCACAGATTTTGGCCCAGTAACAGATAATTGACACAGATACTTTGATTCTTTGAAGAGAAATAATAAAGGGTTTTTAAATTAATCTTTTTCTATGGTGAATGAACCATTGTCAGAAAACTAACCTTCCCATTTTGAGCTACAAAAGGTCAATGATTTCTTCACTGCTGTCTTTTACTGAGAGGTTGTGGGGCATTAGGGAGAGGGTGTTGGACCTAGGACTAGGAAACCCTGAGTTCTAATCCTACTTCAGACTACTAAAAGCTGTGTAGCCCTGGACAAGCCACTTAAGTTCTCTCAGCCCCATTTCTTCAGCAGTGAAATAATGAAGACAATACTTAAAGGACCTAATTCACAGGGCTCTTTTGAAGGTCAAATGAAATAACGTATGTAAAGTGCTTTGTGAATTTGAAAGTGCTGTCCATGCATATGGCAGTTATTACTATATTCCTTAGAGAATATCAATATATTTATATTTAAATCCTTAGATATTTAAGGGCAAGAGGACTTTCAGAACTGAATTATGATAGAAGATTCAGACAATCCAAATGAAATAGTTTCTCAGCCTGCAGCATGTTTGAAATGTATAGTGTATCTCAGGGAGGTGAACTAATAAATTGCAATGCAAATTCTATAAAAACCAAAGGTGAGCTTGCTCTGTTCTGATGTAAATCAATAATTAAAAAACAATTTGAATTGGAAAAACTCTAATATAATTCAGGTCCAGTTCCAGAAATGTTGACCTGGAAGAGATGTTGGAGATTATCATATTCAAAGCCCTAAAATTTTAAGCCGAAGGCTACACAGGCAAAGTGACACGCCCAAGGTCACTTAACCAGTAACTGGCAGAGCTCTAGAAATCCTTATCCCCTGACTCTTAAATCCAGTGGTCTTTGAATCTCATATTTTATACTAGTTTTCAATTTGGATTTGGTTCAGCTCCTTGTTAGATATCTATGTCTAATTTATCAGCACTGCATGTATCTTTATCATGTTCCTGCATGCGGACCTCTGTTCCTTTAGTCTCTGAACAAACACATCTCTCTTCATTGAAACATTTGATTTTAACTTGAGTGAAATGTTGCTAACAGTGGTAAGAATGTTTTGAAAATGGACCTGCTGCTCTTTAGTTTCCACAGTGCCTTCACATCCTGATAACCAATTTGCACATCCCGAAAAACTCAAAAGGATGAGCAAGTCTGTTCCAGCATTCCTCCAAGATGAGGCAAGTCTGCATTTTTAAATATAAGAAAAACCAACATTTGACAGGTGAATTTCTCCCTCTGGGTTTGTGTGTTTGTAATGCTCTGTGGCATTACAGATGGAAGTGCTCAGTGTTACTGGTCTTTGTTTTTCTGGTCAATAGAAAGTGTCTCATGTTCAGGAGAGAGGAAAACCATGTCTCATGTGACTGTCACCACTCATTTGTCAAGTACGGGCCACAGAGGCTTCCCTATTCTCCAAAGTGGCTGGAAAATAGAAATTCTGAGAAGTATTTGTCATGGGAGGACAGAAAAAATAAATATTGTTCTCCATCCTTGGGAGTTCATCTGGAGCAATTTGGCTTGGACAGTCTATCCATGTTGTTGATGAAAGTATTAGTTTACTAAAACAAATAAATATGCTGGGGTTAAAATATGTCCATAGATTTTAAGGGGTAATTTAAGTACTATTGAGTGCCTTCAAGCTGTTTAAATCTCATTTGCTCCTGGTCCTGTTTGACTGTTGAAAGCTTCCCATTTTTAGCTTTGAAAAAGTGTGGAGATTGTTTTTTTAAAAATCCTAATCCTCAAGAGATAACAAATGTGCGGAGCTCTTACCACTGAGAGCTTGGAACAGGCTAGGAACTGTGCCTTATCATCTGCAGGGGTTAAAAGGCAGATTCTCTTCCTGCCTCCAGTTACTACCTAAATACCCACCTTCTCAATTCAATAAACATTTATGAAGCACCTTCTATGTGGCAGGCACAGTGCTAAGCCTTTATAAAAAGAGGCAAAAAATAGTCCCTGTCCTCAAGGAACTTACAATCTAATGGGAGAGAACAGGCAAACAAATATATACAACACATGCAATGCTTTTGTGATTACCTCTCATCTGAAAGGTGATTCTCTAAGAACTGACCAAACTAAAATGTCCTCTTATAGACATGAAGAATAAAAGAAGTTGGAAACAAGCCTCTGTTACTAGAACGTCTTTGTCTCCCACTCTTATAATTCCAACTTTCAGACCATATAGCACACCTTTTTCCAGGGCTGCTCAGGCAGAAATGAGTCAGAGCTTCTCACAAGGCTGCCCCTAAGCTAAATTCTGTCACATTCAGTGCTCTGAATCTTCATTGCCTGTGACATTTACCCACCCTCATTGTGTACCTTCTCCCTTCCTCCCATCCCCTACTTTTCATGTGATACCCTTTGATCTTTTTCCTACTTTCATCAAAACATCCCAAGCAATTGTTTACACCTTAGTATGAATTTAAGCTACTGTGTTCCTTCTCTGAGGTGGATTGGAATTTCATCCCTTATTAATATAAGAAACTTCATCTCCTGTTAGAGTTCTAGGTATCTCAGGAAGTATGTCTGGGGATAAAAGGTCCTTTCCAGCCCATGTATCATCACTCTATCCTTGGGCTAGATTCACTGTCCTGTAATCATTCAATGGGTCAGTTTTTTCAGGAGTGCAAGTTAAGGTGTCCTTTGCAACATAACATCTATGCAACATAACCTCAAAAGTGGAGGCTGGATAGGAACCTGTAGAGTTCACATGGTTTTATGCCAACCTAAGTCCAGCATTTTGGCCTCTGACAGTTGGATGATGCTTCACTATATGGGTAGAGATAAATTATACTGGTTCATTGCCGTGGTTTTTCCCCCTTGTTAGTTTTTAAGTCCCTATGATTCTGGCTATGCAGGAGTGACAACAGATTATGTGTCTGTATTTTTTAAAATGTCAAAGAGAAGACTTTTTAAAAAATCTGTTTTATGACTTGATTAAAAAATGAAAAGCTCATGTTTGTGAATTATCTCATACTGATTACATCAGTTCTGGAATACTACAGAACTTCATCAAGAGACTGAGCCAGTAATCCACACAGCAAACCCCAAGTGGATGAAGAATATTTTATGATGTGCCATTGGAAGGGCAACCCATTGAATAAGCATCAGTACATCCATGTTGGAAAGGGGCTACAGATGGACAGTGAGCTTGGCTGAGGAATTGAATAGAGGGACATCAGACAGGAGTACATTTGGGAAATTGTATGCTACTTTCTTTTATCCTGAGATGCTTCCTGATAACAAAGTCCTACTTATCTAATACCAATATGTTCCCCTTGGTAATCACAGATTCATAGAACCTCTGAGTTGAAAGAAATCATCTCCTCTGAACTATACCTGACCAAGAATTCTCTCTATATCATCTCTGATAAGTGGTCATTGAGCCTTCAGTTGAAGGCTTCTAATGAAAAGAAAGCTACTAAGTCTCTATGCAGCCCATTTTAATACCTAGTACTGTTAGGAAGTTCCTCTTTACATGAAGCCTAGATCTGCCGCTGCAACATTCAGCTGTTACCCCTAGTTCTGACCTCTAAGGGCAAGCATGAAAGGTCATCAAATCCCTCAAGGCAGATTATGGCCCTTCTCAACTCTTCTCCAGATTAGACCTTCCTTCAAATCTCAGCTAAAGTCCCACTTAGTGCTTTTCCCTTTTCCCTCTCCAACTTAGCCTGTATATATTCATTTTGCACATAGCTGTTTGCCTGTTGTCTCTCTCCAGCCCACTCCTGCCCTCTGCTTAGATTATGAGTGCCTTGAGAACAGGGACTATGTTTTGCTTTTCTTTCTATCCCCAACATTTACCACTGTGCCTGGCATACAGCAGGCATTTAGTAAATTATACTTTATCATTTATCATCCCCACTTCCTTGAAACCATTACCATTTAGTAGTTTCCAGTCCCCTCACAACCCCGGCTATCCATTTCTAGACTCAAGCTTTTCAATATCCTTCCTAATGTTCATAGCAAAGATGTCTACTGTCACTACTTTCTAGAATACTATTGGAAATGCCAATGTATAGGGGAGGGTGTACTAGAAGACACAACTAATAACAAATTCCCATATATAGTAGAAAGGAAAATCATAAATATTTAAGATGAATCCAATATGAGACACACAAAGACCTATATCAGAGGAAATATAAAATTTTCAAGTTGATTTGAATGAATGGATAAAGATACCTTACTCATGGTTGGATAGAATAATAAGGAGGGTACTCCCCCAGTAAATTTACACAATTTAACACAACACCTATTAAAATCCCAATGGAGTATTTTGTAGACATGAGTAAAATGACAGTATAATTTGAATAGAAAAAACAAAGACAGGAATACCAAGTAGTCCATTGCAGTGGTAGTGGTAGTAAGTTGCAGAGTGATGATAGAAGGGAGGCAAGCAAATAGGCTTTACAATTACTATGGTGACAACTGTTTAAATTGCCTACCACTTGGCTAAAAGTAGACCAACTCATGGAAGAGACTAAAAATTCCAAAATTAGAGCATATCATTAAAAATTAATATATGCTGAACTTAAAATTGAGGGGGAAGGGAAGGAAAAAATTAATAAATGCTCTTAGGAACATTGAGAAACAACAGGGAAAAATTTTTAGATCTACAATTCATAAATTACATCATTATAAATTCCATGCAGACCTATAGTTATATGTATATGCTCATGTATATGGTAAAATTTTTGAAAAGATAAAATAAGAGTATTTTCTACCACTTAAATGTAAAGAAGAACTATTTTACTCTTAATGCTAAAAATGTGTATCTGGGACAAATTGTTGGGTGCAATTATGTAAAAATAACTTTATGCACAATGAAAATCAGTGGAAGTAAATGAAAAACAACAATGGGAAGATTACTCTTAATAAAGATGATTGCTCAAAGCTAGATTTTTTGAAATGATCAGAAACTCTTAATCTCCAGTGGGTAAATGGCCAAAGCTTAGGATAATACAAAAGCTAAACATTTTGGAAAATGTTCAGCACTGCCAGTCATTAAAAAAGCATATTGTAGAATACCTTTGACACACTATATCTCAACATGCATTAAATTAGCAAAATAAAAATTATCAAACTCATGTGGCTGTGAATCATGGAACATCATAGTCTCAGAAGAATCAGAATTACAGGTAACTCTAAGGGAAGATGTGTGGACGGATGCATGGAGGGTTAAAGAACAATTATGACTTGTACATGGGATGTAATAGATAAAACATCATTAAGGATGTATAGGACCAGAGGAGACATTGGGACCAAGATGAGGCTAGAGTTAAGAATAACAAATATGTAACAGAGGCCTGGACTAGCATCCAGAAATGAAAAGAACCAGAAGGCGGACTTCAGTGCATCAGGTGAATCCTTGACAAAGGGTTTACAGCAAGAGATAGATGAGAATTGCAGAGGATGAGAAGGCCTGCATAGCTTCGGACTTGTACCAGTATAAGCCAGTATACCACTGGTGAGGTCACAGATCCATCAAAGTATTGAATAAGAAGGAAGTTATATCATTAAGCCTGAAGTGGTTATTGGGGAAATGAAAGTAAAATAGGGTCATCTCTGCTATCTCCTTTCTCTTCAACTCTGGACCAATTTAAAGAACCCCGGGGAAAAAGACAGGATTTTTGCTGTTGTACCTTTGTACGGAAGATGTCTCTTCTTTTTTCAGTGGTGAATTCCACTCCTCTCTTTTCCCCCCTCTTACCCCATATGAAAATTGGTTTCATAGCATCAACCCTGACTGGCATGGCATGAGTCTGTTGGCATGAACTAACTTCTTTCTTTAGGAAAGTGTTTAGAGGATCCCTCTCCCCACCTTACCTTTTAGTTAGCTAACTGCCTCTTGAATTCCTCTCCCAAAATAGGAGCTCACATTGGAAGGTTAACCAGAAAAATCAGAATGTTTGAGCCAGAAGGAACCTTAGAGCGCCATCTAACCAAAACTGTTTCCTTTTACAAGTGAGACCTAGTCAAGGGAAATGATTTACCTGAAGTCCCATGGCAAGGTAATGGCAGAGTCAAAGCTGAGGTTTCAGCACAGTGTTCTTTCCAGTGGTCTGTGCCTTAAAAGAAATCTATGAGGGGGTAATACTATAAAAGCTTGTATGTAGAGATCCAGTGTGGTCTAGTGAATAGGACTCTGGACTTGGAGTCAGGAAAACATTTAACCTCTCTGAGCCACATTTTATTCATCTTTAATGAGGGCATTATACTCTATGGCCTCTAAGGTCCTTTCCAACTCAAATCTGTCTATAGACATATGCATTTAGTTGATGGTAACTCATGAGTTTAAGACGTCCTGAAATTAGCATTATAGATGCTTTCCTTTCCTTGCCCCTATATCCCTAGTATTTTTCCCTATAAATTTCATTCCTCAAATTCCCAATCTCTGAAAAAAGATTTTAAATAAGCACTAAATTATTGATTCGCTATTTTAAAACAGACATGTACTGTCTCGTGTAAGTTAAATGTATTTATTTATTGCTACTTTTTAAAAATGTTAAATACAGTGGGTGTGTGTATATAAGCATAATAGTATATGTAAATTCATAGGATTTTTTTTAATGGGATTAATCTAGGAACAGATTTTTCCCCCCAGTTTAGACTCAAGTAAATGATTTGATCTCTAAGTTAAAGGACATGTTAATAATGAAAGGAACTATACAAAATATTTGTTTCTTGACCATGACCCTTGAATCCTTCTCATTTGGGGTAAAGTTAATTAATATCCTATATAGAAAATAGAAGCCCTGGAGGGTACAACATAGAATGTTAATGCTGCATAATGGCATGACCTTTGGGTCCCCTCACCTTGGTTCTAGCATATTGGTGAGGCTATCCTCCGGGTATTTCAGTAACTCAGTCCCCTTGGATGGATTTGAAGTGAGAGGACCACCTTATATTCAGCTCCTCCCCATGGCAAACAGTGTGTAGAGTGAGTTTCCAAAGTACTTGGGAAATGCTGCAGAGCAGTGGGATTCTAAGAGATAAGACTTTAGCTCCCTACTCTTCCACATAGACTCTGACCACAACTTGCCGTGGCCCTAAATAACTTCTGCCTTATGTGATGTCTTGTAGAGTGATGACAGAGAGACCGATACCACATCAGAAAGCAGTTACCAGCTTGGCAGACACAAGAAGAGCCCGAGCTCTTTAACCAATCTTTTCAGCAGCTCCTCTGGCATGACATCACTGTCTTCTGTATGTAAACAAAGGCCCAGCTTTCGCTCAATCTTTCATTGCTCTTTCCCTGCCCTCTGTAAACCAGTGCTGCTTTATTTTGCCATTCCCTTAACCCCAAGCACCAGAATGCCTTTCTACTTGGCAACTGGCTTCTAACCAGCTAAAATTTTTTTTCTTGGTTGCGCATCAGCTCCAAAAGAAATAGCTCCATTTAATTGTCTGTATATATCTCAAAATACTTGACTTCAGATGGCCAACAGTATTAATAATTAATATTTCCTGTATGATGCTTGACAAAGTCACAGGGAAGCATCTTTTATAGTATGTGTGTGAGTATTTATTTGTGTGCCTGTTTTTGTATATATGTGTGTGTTAGTGTTGCTTACTTGGCTGGTCACAGGCTTGGCAGGTATTTTATTACAGGAATTAGTTGTTGATAAGGATCTGTGAATGGCCCCATATTGATCAGATAGCTAGCATCTGGGTTTATGCCATCATCAAAACTTTTTTTTTTAATTTCATGAGTCCCTTTTGCCATCTGGTTTATTCCATGGATTCCCTTCTCAGAATAATATTTTTAAATTAAAAACAAAACAAAAATACATAGAATTACAAAAGAAACAAAGGTTAGTGAAGATAAAGATGTAATTTTTTCCCATCCAAAGTTCACAGACCCCTGAAATCTATTTATGAACCCAGGTTAAGAACCTGATTAGATATTGTGGCAATATCTAGTGCAGCTTCCCCTGACTCCTGAGGGTCAAGCATCTTGAACCCTAGACCTTGGAGCACATGGATAGAGATTAAGGGGGATGATGGCATGGCATTGATACACAACAGGAACACTCATCATTGCATTACATTATGACCTTTTTGTTTTGATTTTGGTAATCCATGTTTATGTGTACATGTATGTCTGTGTATCCTTCCCTTTAAACACTCAATTTTTAAAAATTCAGAGTTATAGAAAAGAAATTCTGGGGGTGATTCATTCTTTCATAGGATTCACAGTAGGATTCCAATCAATATAAAGCTCCCCTGGTACATTTAAGAGATTCAATTCACTGTAGAAAACATTTTATAAGTGACCACCATGTAACAGGCACTATGCTAGGTCCTGAGTACCCAAAGAGGAAAATTCAACACTATCCTCAAGGATCCTACAATTCAATAAGAATTAGGAAAGAAAGAGTGGAACAGGGAGGTGGTAATTAGAATGATAAGAAATTGATTATCACATAACTATTTCAGACCAGAAGAATCTCTTGCCTAAAGTGAGGTACATTTAGCTAGGTATTATGAAATTTCCAGATATGCCACTCAACTGTGCTTAAACTCTGATTGACCTTGGATTTATTGAACCTTACTTTTGTTGAACCGGTTCCTATTGAATCCCTATCAATATCAATCTGTTTGCTTACCTCCTGTGCAATTTTTAAACTCCTTCCATCACTTATCCATTATTCATTAATTATTCCTTCCTGGACTTTCAGAGTATAAGCTCAGTAAGCAGTTTTTAGACTTAGTGACTTGCTAACATAGTGAAATTCCTCCCTGGCAGCTTAGAAATTTGATATAAGAACTTATGTCACTATGGTCTGTGTCTGGTATATCTTGTATATTATCTCTTTGGCCATTAAAAAAAAAAAAAGAACAGCCCTAAAAATAGGCCTGCTTATAACCACATGATTTTTTAAAGCGTGCTTTCAAATGAGCCATCCTGTAAATAACTATCTTCTTTAAAAAAAAACAACCAAAAAACTCCCAACTGTATGAAGTTCACCAAAATGCATCAGAAATGCTAGCTTCTGTTTCTTTGTGCTTCATGTTTGGTTTGCTGAGTTGAAATCTTTCCATACTCTGATTAAAATACATAAATGATTATCTTGCCTACAGATGTATATTACACCCAACAAGGGTTATTTCTAAAATCCTTTTATGTACTCTGAAGCTAAACTCATGAAAATCTTGTTTCTGGTGCCTTCAGGTGAGTGGAAGTGCAATGAGTGTTTACAGTGGAGACTTTGGCAATCTGGATATTAAAGGAAGTGTTCAGTTTGCCATTGATTATGTGGATTCATTGATGGAGTTCCATGTTTTTGTGGCCCAGTGCAAGGACTTAGCAGCGGCAGATGTTAAAAAACAGCGCTCCGACCCGTAAGTGAATTTTGGAGTTTCCAGTATTCTATTAAGTTCACAATACCTTGTCCAAGTAGGAAATGGGGAGAAATGATAGTGGCAGTGTTTCCATTTTTAAAAATTATCTTTCAGGGAGCTAAATCCAAGAAAGTAGCTTGAAGAAGACAGTTTATAGACTTATTTAGGACTAAACTCCCTAATCCAAACCAAAACATTTTAAAACAGTGGGACTTTCTGAGGACTTGTTGAAAAAAATAGTCAAACCAAGGTCAAAATCAGGGTGGAGGGGTGAAGGGGATAAAAAAAAAGAGTTGAGAACAGTCTACTTGGATATGTTTGAAAAGAGACTTCACTTCAAATAATCAATTTTGTTGCCCTTGATTTCAAAAAGAATAAAAATGCTGTTGTCCTAAAATGCAGCCTCCACTAAAATCCAACTCTGTTATCTCCCTGTGATATGGAAGTGAGCCTTGGTTCAAAAATTTGTGCCAATGGAGCCCAAGTTTTGGCAACATATCAATCTGGAAGGGCTTTGAATCCAGGCCTGATGACAGTGTGTCTAAATACAGCTAGCCCTCAATTAGTGTGAATAATGAATCCCCCAGAAGTGGTCAGCAAATAAAAATTGTCACAATTTGAGGTTATAATGATATGAAATATGGTAATTGGTTCCAGTCCAATGGAAATATGTAGTATGAATAATGCAACCACCTCAGACAAGAGGGCTGCAGAAGTCCCCTTCACCTTTGAAATTCTATGATTCTGTCAGATTACAACTTTTTTTTTGCAAGGAGGCTTATCCCTAGAGGGTTGGCCATGAGGTGATGATCCTTCTTTTGGCCACAGCCAAAAAAGCTAGAGGGTAAAATGGATAGATAGTATCATGGAAACAAACATGAACTTGGACAGACTTCAAGAGATAAAGGAGGATAAAAGGGCCTAGCATGCTACGGTCCATGGGGTCACAAAGAGTCATACATGACTGAACAACTGAACAACAACCAAATTAGAATGTTATTAGGCTGTCTCCCAAGGTGGGGAGACTCTGTGATCTGAATAGGTAGAGCTGTTCACAAAGTAATGAAGTACTAAAATAGTGAGAAATTGAGTGTGGAGTTTTCTTTTTCATATTTTAATTATGAAAATGTCATGTGATCCACTAAACCCATTTCTTTGGGCTCCTTGAAAGAGGAGAGGAACAAGATTAGTAAACTGCATAATAACTTCATTATTCTGTTTGATGCTATCATGCTCTCTGGTAGGAGACTTTTTTTTTCCTTCTTGAAGATCTAAGTCAAATATAAAAGTTTCCCAACCTTTTTTGTTTTTTCAGATTAATGGCACGTTAGGGAATTCCTTATTAATGTTCAGTAACAGAAGCATGTAGTATTGCGAGATATTTAGGTGGCTTCCTACTGAGAGTCTTTGAAACCTCAAACCTGTCAGTGTAGTTGCCTCTGGTTTTCTCTGGCCCCAAAAAACATTGTAATCTGACAGAATCATAGAATGTCAAAGGTGAAGGGGATGTCTGCAGCCCTCTTGTCCAACTGATACCTGGAAAAAAAATCTTCCTACAACATACCCAACAAATGGGGTCCATGGAAGACCTCCAATGAGGAAGAACCACCACCTCCCTTCTATTTTTGGCTAGCTCAAAGTTTTAGGGATTCTTTCCTTGTTGTTCACTCGTTTCAGTCATGTCCAACTTATCGTGGCCCCATTTGGGGTTTTCTTGGCAAAGATACTGGGGTGGTTTGCCATTTCCTTCTCCAGCTCATTTTACAGATGAGGAAACTGAGGCAAAAAGGTTAAAGTGACTTGCCCACGGTCACACAGCTAGTAGGGATCTGTTTGAGGCCAGATTTGAACTCAGGAAGATGAGTCTTCCTGACTTCAGGCCTAACACTCTATCCACTGGGCCACCCAGCTGATCTTACACCAAGCCCATGTGGGCCTTTCCACAGCTCCTACGCATTGTTCCTGATTCCTCCCTTTAGGGCAAGAATTGTTTCTATTTCAAGTATTGAAAAGTTGGGTGAGGAAATAAAATCACCATTTTCTTCTGATCACCTTATGTCTTCAATTTCTAGATATGTAAAGACCTATTTGCTGCCAGACAAAGGTAAAATGGGCAAGAAGAAAACACTTGTGATGAAGAAAACCTTGAATCCTGTGTATAACGAGATATTGCGGGTATGTTTGAGTAGAATTACAAGAATTGTCATTTATGTAACATTCTAGGATTTACAGAGCTCTTTGCCTACATTATCCTATTTGATCCTCACAATAATCCTTTGAGGTCATCATTTTGCAGATGAGGAAACAGAAACTGTGTGGTAAAATGACTTGCCTGAAGTCATATGGTCTGGAATGGGATTTGAATTCAGGTCTTCCTGATGACAAGTCTAGTGCTCTAAATCATAAATGATAATATACATTTAAATTCAGTCATTTGACAAATTTTTATTAAGTACATATTACATGCAAAAGCACTATAATTCAGTGCTAGGAGAAATAGAAAGTTAAAATCTTGAGGGGGAAGTGGCAAAAACAAATCACTATAAACAAACCCCCAATAAGTACTATGTAATGTCCAAAAGAGAACTGATTTAAATGACTGGGGGATCTCAGAAAAGTTTCTTACAGATGGTGGCATTTGAAACGGGCTTCAAAGGTTGTACAAGATTTCAGAGGGAGGCCAGGAAAGGCGTGTGTTCACAGGGCCCTGGGAAAGGCACAGAGAAAGGAACGCCTGGCGTCTTTCTGGAACAGTTCAAGAAGTTCATGTTGCTTGTGGTATAGAGCAGTGCTGAGAAGCTCCTACAAAAATGGGGGACATTAAACCTTACATAAGGATCCCGGTGGGCTGCTCATTGACTTAGAAGATCACATAGTCACATTATTGATGTTCTGTAGTATTTTAAAACTTTCATTCACTATTTCCCCGTTACATTTTAATCTGGATCAGGCTGCATTCGAGAGTGTTGCAGGCAGCAATGTTGGACGCCTCTGGTGTAGAGTGTGTGGAGTTTAGATTTTCTGGAAGTGTTGGATAAGATAAAGTAGGCAGTTCTGTGGGTCAGAATTAAAAATTAAGGGGGCACAGCTGGGTGGCACAGTGGATAGAGCACTGGCCCTGGAGTTAGGAGGACCTGAGTTCAAAGCCGGCCTCAGACACATAACACTTACTAGCTGTGTAATCCTGGTCAAGTCACTTAACCCTATTGCCTAGCCAAAACAAAAAAAAAAAATTAAGGGAAAAAAATGCCTTTGAATGAAAACAAAATGCACAGAATTCTAGCCAGGTGAAGAAGGCTAAGCCGAAAAGCTGGCCACTAGGTTAGTGTTCTGTTGCTGTAGGTTCCATTATCTTCCAGGAAGGAAACAGTCAATTCTTAAATATCCATGTGTAAATCATTAACCTTGTGGAAAATATTAAGTCACAGACCAAGCAACTTTCCCTGGCATCTCTAGACATGTCTCTGGGACACTTCCTCCTACCCTGAGCCAATAAACTAGATAGACCAATTTAAATGGCCTAAGCTAATGCATTAATTAGTAATTAAATTTACTAGAAAAAGAAAAATAGATAACTGACTTCCAAATCTAAGTATAAGTGGCTTGGAGATTTTTCATACAACTACTTTTCTAGAACCCTTTCCAGACATAATCCAGAACTCATTTAGGTGGCTCTAAAGGACAAAGTACTAGACTCAGAATCAGGAAGACCTGAATTTGAATTCTGCCTCAGACCCTCACCCTGGGCAAGTCACTCAGCCTCTTCGTGGCCTCAGTTTCCTCATTTTTAAAAAGGGGATAATAATAACACCTCCCACGGTTGTTGTGAGGATCCAGTGAGGGAATACAGGTAATACAATGAGGAAATCTTAGGGTAGTTTTAAGCTATTATGTTTAAGCTACTAAAAATAAACATATTAATGTTTAAGCCATTAAAGCTTAAAAACTTCACTAAGACCATTGCAACACCTGGTATATCCAAAGCACATAAGTTGGCTTTTTTTTTCCCACAAGGTAAGATATGACCCCTGGGAAGCAGAAAATTCTTATTTTCTAGTTTAAAAAAAAGTTCATTTTCTTATGTGCAAAAGGAAAAACAAAAAAAAGGTTTTCGTTACCATATGGATTAATTGCCTAGGACCAGAGACATGTAGCCCTTAAAATTACACCAATAGCCTTTGCTACCAACTGAGGCATATATATATATATATATATATATATATATACATATATATATATATATATATATACACTATGTATATGAATATGTATGTATGTGCATATATACGTATATGTGTGTGTATGAGAGAGAGAGAAATGAAAAACCTAAGAGACTGATTTTCTGGGTAATTAATCAATTGGGCTAACTGGTAATAAATTTATGGTCAATGGTTTCTCTCAGAAAGCAAAGACATCTAATGGAGATACAGAATGCCTTAATAAATGTATTAAAAAGGGGGTACCCCTGACAGGTGAAAATCAACTCTGATTGGTGAACAGTTAATGAGGGAGTGGACTTTCAAATGAGGTGGGCTGAAAGCCCTCACTCTCTCTTGCTGAGAAGTGGCTTGATCATGAGACTCAGACACCTCTAGTTCTCTGGACAAAGGAATCCATCTCTATCCAGACCACTCTGCTTGATTTTCTCCTTCATGAGCTGGGTTACCCTAAATTCCAGTGGAGGAGGGGCAGGAGCATAGCCTTAATGCTTTAGGGCTGGAATTCACCTAGATTAGATTCTGTTTACATGCTAAACAGAAGTAAGTTCTTCCTGTTTGGTGGGGTTCTGCCCAAGATCTAAGAGCTTGTTCCCAGGAGAATTTGGGCAATCTTATCTATCAGCAATGTCCTTCAGAGGCTGACTGACTTACAGGGGCTGGTCGCTGATTGAGAGAAAGCACCTTAATCCTAATTTAATAATTGGTTATAATATAATTGAAAATAATAATTTCTCTGTGTGTGTGTGTGTGTGTGTGTGTGTGTGCAAAAAGAATTCTTTTGAGAGGAACAGATTTCAGCTACAGGGAAAAAGAAGCATTGTATTTAGCCTAGCTTTGGAACACCAGCAAGACCTGATATATTATATGTGAAAAAAAAATCTGTCCCATGTTGATGACTTTCTTTCTCCATCCCTGCCATCCTTGAACTTTTGTACTTGCCAACTGTGACTATAGACAAATCTCCTTGCCTTTCTGAGTAATATAGCAATAATGATATATACGCTAATTCACTGACAACATCATCATGATGGAGGTGTTTTGAGAATGGAAAAGAACAATAGAAATACAAGTTGTCATCGGTATGAAAAGACTTAAACTTAAATTCCTAATTCTTGCCTTGTTTGCCGCAGTATAAAATTGACAAGCAGAGCCTGAAGAATCAGAAACTGAACCTCTCCGTCTGGCATCGGGACACGTTCAAACGCAACAGTTTCCTTGGGGAAGTAGAACTTGACCTGGAAACATGGGACTGGGACAACAAACAGAATAAACAATTGAAGTGGTACCCTTTGAATCGCAGGGTAAGTTCTGAGTTAATTTATAGCATTTTGGTTTGGCAGCATCAAGTGATACTATAGTGGTGGCATTGTTCCTTCGTTTCAGACTCTTCCGAACCCCTTTGGGGTTTTCTTGGCAAAGATACTGCATTGCCATTTCCTTCTCCAGCTTATTTTACAGATGAGGAAACCAAGGCAAACTGGGTTTAGTGACTTGGCTAGAGTCACATAGCTAGTAAGTGTCTGAGGCCAGACTTGAACTCGTAAAGATGAGTCTTCCTGACTCTAGGCCTAACGCTCTCTCCATTGAGTCACCTAGCTGCCCGATGCTCCAGTAAAACCTGATTAATAGACACCCAGTTCATTTGTCTTTGGCAATCTTTGCAATCAGAAATAGAGTTAATTTCTTTACTTTTGTACTTTTGGTAGTAAAAAGGGGTGTTTAGAGGACCACGTGGAGTAGTGGAAAGAGTGTTGGATTTAAGTCAGAGAATCTGGGTTCAAATCTCCACTCTGTTACTTATTGCTTGAATGGTCTTAGAAAAGTCACCTTCCATGAGTCTGTTTCCTTAGCCATAAAAGGAGGGAGTTGGACCAGATGATCTTTAAGGCCTTTTCCATTGCTAAATTGTAGTGAGTCAACATGGTGCACAAGGTGAGAACTTCTAGTCTTCTCAAGCAGACTTTTGGCCCTTTGGATACCACACATAAAAATATGTTAATAAAGAACTCCAGTGAACTGACCCTGGGTTCCTGAAGGGATCTTCCCTCTACCTACCTAGGAAGCCTGCAAAAGTCCTGCCAAGGTAGAAAAACTCCAAGTGCGAATCTCATGCACATCTATCTTCCAAGAGCCAAATGAATATGTTCAGATTCATTAGATTATGAGCTCTTCCAGGGCAGGAACTTTGAGATCTGGTATAGCTAGGCTATCTTCCTTCACATTTTTTTCATTGATTCCCTTGATATTCTTGACCTTTTGTTCTTCCAGATGAATATTGTTGTGCTCTTTTTCTAGCTCTATAAAATAATTTTTGATAGTTTGATTGGTATGGCACTGAACAAATCGATTAATTTAGGTAGAATTGTAATTTTTATTATATTGGCTCAGCCTACCCATGAGCAATCAATATTTTTCCAATTGTTTAGGTCTGATTTTGTTTGTGTGAAAAGCGTTTTGTAATTGTGTTCATATAGTTCCTAGGTTTGTCTTGGCAGGTATACTCCCAAGTATTCTAGATTGTGTAGTTATTTTAAAAGTAATTTCTCTATCTCTTGCTGCTGGACTTTGTTGGCAATGTATAGAAATGTTTATGATGATTTATATGGGTTTATTTTATATCCTACAACTTTGTTAAAGTTGTTAGTTATTTCATCTAGTTTTTTTTAGTCAATTCTGTACAGTAACTTTGCTAAAGTTGTTAATTATTTCATTTAATTTTTTAGTTAATTCTCTAGGATCATCTAAGTATACCATCACATCATCTACAAAGAGTGATAGTTTTATTTCCTCATTGCTTATTCTAATTCCTTCAAGGAATGCAGAGTCTCTAAGAATATAAGGGTAGGAGGGAGATTATTCCAGCCATAGGGAATAGCCAGTGCAAAGGAATGGTGATGGGAGATACAGTATTCTGTACAGCGTTCCCTTAAAGGGATTTGAAAGGGATGAAACCTCATTTGTATTTTAAAATGATATAGTTCCAATTATTTAAAAAAGTATTCTCAAATTCTAATTTGTTGTAATTTTTAGTGGCTCTCTTTCATTAGGACAAATTAATGAGTTCAATTTAATTTTGAGAAGGCCACAATGTACATTTGCTGTTTTCTTTTTCTACCTTACAGAAGCAGTAGGTGATAAGGAGAGTTTAGTGTGTTGGGTTGTGGATAAGGCTGAACCACTTTCATGTCAGATAATATCCAACAGCAAAATTTTTCACTATCATAGAAGCAAGAAAAGTGAGGGCAAGGGCAGGGGAGGGGGTTCACCCACCTTAAGAATATAGACCTCTAATAACAATTTATTCTGTAAAATTTGGATTCAGTGAAAAGGCTGCACTTAAGGACCTAGAAGGCCACATGTGTCCCCACCTACTGACCTAGAGGTATTTAATTATGTTTTGCCAGATGTTAAATGAGAGGAGGGGACTGGGGTTCTATCCCTAATATTAGGAGAAATTTTACGTGATACGCCTCATTCAGATCCAGGATGGGATGGGTTTGCACCTCTCACCTTGCATCAAAATATATCTCACCTCAGGTGAATTACAGACAAGCTATGCTTGGTTGTCATCAATGTTTATTAATTTCCAGACAGCACCAATTGCCATCGAAGCAGAAAACAGAGGTGAAATGAAATTAGCCCTCCAGTATGTCCCAGAACCATTCTTAGGTATGTACTTCTGTCCATGGTGATTCTCTTGGTTGGATTCATTCTAGCCTCCACTGTCACTCTCCCCACTGAAATTCCAATGTGTGTGTTTTGGGTACAGTCATGGATGTTTCTAGCAGCATTTTCCAGAAAGTTATCCACAGCACAGGGGACCAAATTACTGTTGAGGATAATGCTGTACTTACCTGTGATGTAATGATACTGGTTATTAGATGCAGGCAACATCTCTGCTTCATACTTAGACCCTATTGGAGATGTTTTATTTCTTGGATGTGGTCAGGTGCTGTTATCAAAGGTCACTTAACGACATGGTCGTACATTAATACCTCAAATATTAATGTGTTTTCTTCTATTGGTGACCGAAAGTAGAAATTATGTGGGTTCTGTAGGGTAAAATTTCATTTTCACTAAATATTCATTAAGCACTTGCCATATGCAAGGCACTGAGGTTACAGAAATAGAAATTGCTTGATCCTTTTGTTAAGGCTCTAGTGAAGGGAATTTGACCGAAACAAGAGGTTCGAACTAAACAACCTCTGAGGTATCTCTAAAATTACATGGGTCAGTCAGTCATGACTCCATCTTTCCTCACATTTATGCTCATTCAATTTCACTTTGTTCATTTTGATGCATTATTCCAGAACTCCAAACTTGCTTTAGATCCTAATTCTTACATCCAGTGTGTTAGTTCTCACAACAATTACAGATACTCTTTAGGTACATAGTTAAGAAATTAAATGGCTAAGTAGTTACAAAAAAGACCATCAAATCCTTGTTAACACTTCTCATCTTAACAAAGGGGTCATGATGGCTTCAGTATCATAAGAACTGGTCTGGTTTGCAGACAGGACTTCCATGGAGATGGCTTCACTATCATGAAGCTTAGGATACCGTTCCTAAATGGTGGTTAGATGAAAAAGAGAGCATTCTGGGATAGTTAGGCACTAGGACTTTTTCTTCCAAAGAAAAGGAAAGCATCTTTGTCTCCAGGTCCCCCTAGACCTTACCAATGCTTTGCCAGTAAGAAGTGACACATCTCCCTGAGGTACTCAAGTGTATCTCAATCCCCCATTTCATCCCTGTCTGCCTACAGCACATAAACATGGTCCTAGATGGGCAGAGAAGTTAAGATGCACTCCATACTTCCATGCTTCTGTCATCACAGGTCATTCCCACCTAGCTGTCCTGTGGGTGACTCTTAAATGGGTTCTCCTATAAAGTCTTCACAGTTTATCTACCCAGCATGCAGAAAGGAACTACTCCCTATCATTCTTTCCACTTGCACACCCCAAATAAAATCATTTCTGAAAACAAAAAAAAAAGGTTGTTCCATGCATTTAAATTCTTGATGTTGTGAATATTAATATGTTTCTAACTTTTCTTGTAGTATGACATTTGATAAACAATTTTTAACCATACTATGCTTACTTCTATTTATCAGTTCTTTCTCTGGAGGTGGATAGCATCTTCCTTCATAGATCCTTTAGGTTGATCTGAGTATTTATAATACTCAGAATAACTTGTTTGTTCACAATTGTTCTTTGCTGTAACATATATGTACATATATAACATATACATACATACACATCTCCAAAATAGCAAAAACAAAGTGTGCCAAAAGGAACTCCCTTAGAAAAACTCCTTATAGTATAGGATAAAGGAGAGCTCCCCAATGTGCTAGGGATGGGAAAAAAAAAGAGAGAAAGTGAAATCTCTGTGATATTTGGTCTGAAACAACAGCTGGGAATCATTATGGCCCCCATATGCATCTTTTAATTATCAGAAATTGAAAGATTTAAGGGTTATTATAATAGAAGCCCAAACTGATCCTGCCATTAAAACTGTTTTCTGATAACCATCAGCTCAGTCTTTTCCCCAATTCCTTTTCTGCTCCCTTACCCTCTTCTTCCCCACTCCTTTGACCTGCTGCCTCTTTGATCTAGTCTCCAGATTTCTAGCTTGCCTTAACCCCTTCTTCTCTAGTTCTCTTGGCTTCCCTCAGCTCCTTCTCCCTTATCTAATTACCTTGCCTTGCCAGCAGCAAATAGCTTCCTGAGAAAGGGAGACAGGGAAGGTCTGTGAATCTCCAAGATAGTTTTTCTTTTCCCTAGACCCCAAGATCCTAGCCCGACTTCTCTCCAGGTGCTCCCTTCCAACCCCCTTTTCCACCAGTTTTAGAAGTTGAATATCTTTAGAAGTTGAATAAGGTAATCTTAACAAATGCTAACTGGCTGCCTGAAGCTGAGTGTAGAAAGAAATTTTGTTTTAACTCGGAGCCTAGTTTTGAGACTGGAACTTTAATTAGGAAATTACCTTGAATACGAAAAGTCTGTGAATTCAAATGTAATTGGATCCCCAAACTAAAATTTGTAGATTGTATTCGATTTGAATCTTAAGAACTCTCTGGCTTCTTGGCCACCAAAACTGTATTTTAAATGTTACCCCTTTCCTAGTTTCATGAAAAGGGGAAGCTTATTTAAGAAAGGATCTTTGAGATTCATGAAATGTATTGGTTTGGGAGATAATTTTTTTTTTCTTTCAGGACCTGAGGTCCTAATCCCAGTTATCCACATAACCCCATGTTAGCTTTAAGGTTGGAGACACATTCACTTGATAATGAAGGCTTTAAATTTTAAATGTTGTTGGGGGTTTCAGCATCTTCCTAAATTGTCTTCTAGTATGGCTTCCCTGGATTCCTTTTTCACTTTTGTAGAACAGCTCCTTTCTCCTTATGTCTAAATCCCCTTGTATGCCTAATAGGAAGAGATCCTTATAAAAACTTAGGGCTACAATTCCTTGGTCTCTGATGGTGTTCTGTTCCCTACAATTGCTCACTCAATATCTGACCTTAGAGCAGGGTGTTTAAAATTGCAAAAATAAATATTTGTTCTTTAAGGAATACTTTGATCAAGGTTTCTTGATAGTGGCCTTATGTATGTAAGAACTCTTTATAGAAGAAATGTTCAGAATTTGAAAATACATCTGTCTTGATTTAGAACAGAATATTAGCTCTCTCTAGATTCTGAAAAGTGAAGAGTAATAGACAGAAAAAAGAGTAAGTGTGTTTAATTTGGAAAAAAATGCTTTGAGTTGATCTTTATAAAAGACATGCCAGACCTTAAGTGTCAATTGAGCAGTGAAGTCTTTTGCAAGCTGCTAACTAGGGCTGAGAGAACTTGGGATCCCACCTGTGCTTCAGTAGAGGTATAAGCTTCTGCAGGGCCTCCTAAAGATTTTTGTAATTATTAAGAACATCTTAACGGATTTTTGAGGGGTTTATTCCACAAACATCTTCAATATAGTGGGACTAGGAATAGGAAGTTCAGGTTTCTATCCCCATCTGGGAGAATGAGAGAAGAGATTTGATCTCCTAGAAAGTACTTGAATTGTGACTAATCAAGTAATAGAGTTTGGTAATGATAGGTAAATTGGGGGAAAGGTCACCTGAGTTGAAATTACCTATATAACTGAGAAAGTAAAGATCTGAGTAAGTCACTGGGTTTGTTTAACAACAATATGTGCTAAAATTATAAAGAGAAATTCATGGAGTGAATATACTCTGAGATATGGTTGAATGTGAAAAACGTAGAAATTGAGTGAGTAAAATGAATGTTTAAGAGGAGAATATCAAGGAAAGAAGAAAGGTATGGTTTGCCAGACCGCTACAGGGATACGTGTGTGTGTGTGTGTGTGTGTGTGTACATACATACATATATACACAGAGACAGACATATATATGCATATGTATATATTTATGAATGAGAGAGAGACAGAGATTATAGGAAGAAAATGTAAGCATGTTGAGATCACTGGCTTAGAAAGGAACAACTTAGCTAGAGAAATCCCGAATGGAATGGTTTCCCTTGCCCAGATTGCTAGAGTCTGCTTTAGTTTCAGTTCACACTCCTCCCCCTTCCCAGAAGGAGTTGTGAACTCTTAGCCCACCACATCATTAGATATCCACCAAAATCAGGATTGCTGTTCTCTGTTTGCTGTCAGGGAGGCAGACCTGGATATAAAGGAGGCTGAGAGAGTCTCCCTGCTCCCCTGGCATCTTTGGTCACTGTGAAAGAGAGACCATTGACTTCAATTTCTTGATTGAATCAGGGAGGTCTCAGAGAGTTTAAAGGTTTATCACCTATGGATTTGAGCCAGCTCTGAAGATATCTCAGCCCATACACGAAAACATGAATCCCCAAAGTGGCAGGGATGAAAACCAAAGCCCCTGCTGAAGTGCAGATCACAGCAGACCAGCTTTTAAGGGAAGCTAAAGAAAGAGAGCTTGAGGGGCAGCTAGATGGTGTAATGGATAGAGCACCGGCCCTGGAGTCAGGAAGACCTGAGTTCAAATATGACCTCAGACACATAACACTCACTAGCTGTGTGACCCTGGGCAAGTCATTTAACCCTGATTGCCTCACCCCTCCCCGCCAAAAAAAGAGAGCTTGAGCTTCTTCTACCACCCCCTCAACAGAAGATCACAGATGAAGCAGAATTAAATGATTACAAACTAAACTAAGGAAAAGAAAGACTTTTGAGGACAATGCAAGGAGGAATAGAACTGTGATTGGTAACTGGATAGAATACACCCCATGGGAAAAGAGGCTAAAAGAAATTAAAAGAGCCTGTTCCATATGTAAGTGTGCCTTAGATGTCGACTACAGAAATATCACTCTCTGGCTAAGATATGCAGAAATGGAAATGAAGAATCGACAAAGTAAACCTTGCCCGAAATGTCTGGCACTGGGCCATTACAACTCCTCCCCAGCTCAACCAGTTCTGGCACATATACACTTATATGGAGGAGATACTGGGAAATATTGCAGGGGGCCAGCAAATACTGGAATGCTAGATAGGATGGCGGCCTGAGTACCAAGCCCGGCACTCCTATATCAACTTTGAACTGAGATATAAAGAGGTGGATCAGGCACAGTGTTTACCAACGATTTGTCCTTGTGCACCTTGATGTTAAGAACTGGGTCAAGTATGCTCACTTTGAAGAAAAACATGGCTACTTTGCTCATGCAAGGAAAGTATATGAAAGAGCTGTGGAATTCTTTAGAGAAGAGCACATAGATAAACATCTCTATGTGGCCTTTGCAAAGTTTGAAGAAAATTAAAAATTTGAAAGGGCATGAGTGATCTACAAATATGCTCTGGACAGAATTTCAAAGCAGGCAGCCCAAGCGCTCTTTAAAAATGACACACTTTTTGAAAAGAAATTTGGAGATAGGCAAGGTATTGAAGACATCATTGTGAGCAAATGGAGATTCCAGTGCAAAGAGGAAGCGAAGACCAATTCACAAAATTATGATGCCTGGTGTGGTTATTTGCAATTGGTGGAAAGGGATGCAGAGGAGCCAGACGCTATGTGAGAGATATATGAAAGGGCCATCGCCAACGTGCCACCAGTCCAAGAGAAGAGGCACTGGAAGCAGTATATATACCTCTGGATCAACTGTGCTCTTTATGAAGAGTTGGAGGCAAAGGATCCAGACAGGACCAGACAGGCATATCAAGCTTGTCTCAAACTGATTCCTCACAAAAGTTTACATTTACTAAAATGTGGCTACTGTATGCCCAGTTTAAATAAGACAGAAAAATCTACCATTTGCCAGAAGAGTTTTGGGAACCTCTATTGGCAAGTGTCCCCAAAACAAATTATTTAAAGTCTTCATTGAATTGGAGCTGCAGCTTCGAGAATTTAACCAGCGCCAGAAATTTTGTGAAAAGTTCCTGGAATTTGCACCAGAAAATTGCACCCGGTGGATCAAGTTTGCCAAATTAGAGACAGTTCTTGGAGATATCAAGAAAGCCTGGGAGATCTATGAATTAGCTATTGGCCAGCGGTGCTTAGACATGCCAGAGGTGCTTTGGAAATCCTCCCTTGATTTTGAAACAGAACAAGAAGGATCTGAAAAAGCAAGAAGTCTCTACTGGAGATTGCCACAACGAACACAGCATGTTAAGGTATGGATCAGTTTTGCCCAATTTGAGCTGTCTGTAGGAAATGAAGAAAGGTTAACTCAGTGCAGACAAATTTATGAAGAAGCCAACAAAACCATGAGAAACCGTAAAGAGAAGGAAGAAGGACTTGTGTTATTAGAATCCTGGCAAAACCTTGAAGATGAATTTGGAACAGAATCTCAAAGGGAAGAGAGTCGACGAACTCATGCCAGAGAAAGTTAAGAAGAGAAGAAAAGTGCAGGCAGAAGATGGGTCTGATATTGTCTGGGAAGAGTACTACCATGACATCTTTCCAGAAGATGCAGCAAACCAACCCAACTTCAAACTGCTGGCCACGGCCAAACTTTGGAAGAGACAGCAGCAAGAGGATGCTACCGAGTGAGACCCAGAGAAAGACACGGATGAGAGCAAATCTCGGCTTTTTTCCATGTTGTTGCATTTTGGTTATTTTTATAAATTTCTACTCTGGTAATCATTGTGATTTAAGAAACTTTTGTGCGGTATTTTTTTTTAATCAGTGGTGAACCTTGTACATTTGCTGTACTGTGCCTTTAAAATATTGCTGAGTCAGCATTGAGGAGATTGTAAATAAAGGCTATAACATTTCTTCATTACAACAAGGATTTCTCTGTTTTGGAGATAATACTTAAGGTCTTTTCAAAATACAGAATTTTTTAAATGTCAAGAAATTTCAGTTTATAAATCAGAGAGATTCACAAGTGGAAGGGCTAGCTTTATACCTAGTTAGAATGGGAACAATCAACTCAAATGAAGGATTGGCTTATGTTAAAAAAGTAAGTGGCACCTCAGTTTATTCAGTTGTATTCAAGCTATGTGTAATAGCATGATTTCCTATGTAAGGTAATTGGGAAATACATCTGACTAAATTAATAATGTCTTGATTAGTACTGAATTTTGTCCCAGGCTCCCTAACACTCTCTGTCCAAAATGGCCACCACCAACCCTTCAGCGACATACAATCCCAGTTTTCCGCCTTCACAATTACCTCCAACTCAGACCATTCCTTCCTCCCCTCCTCCAGGCTTTGGATGCTGCCTGTTGGTTGCCCTCCTCCCACTGTGCCCCAGGGTGGGCAATCCGCTGTGCCACCTCCCATCTTCACGTCTGGCATGCCTCCTGTGGGAGGATTGAAACATATAGCTTGAATGAGATCACAGGATGCCTTTTCTCCCCAATACTCCTTTAAAAAAATCAAGACCTAAATTTTTTATTGTTTTTTTTTAATCACCTTTGAAGTCTAGTTTAAATGGCAAGTAGCTGAATAACAGGGTACCTTGTATAACGCTACAGAGCTGCAGTATGTAAAGAGAATGTAATGGTGAACTTGAACCCTAGTGGACCTTCTACAGTGTGACTTTCTCTCATTTTATTGTTGCAGGTAAAAAACTTGCTACAACTGGAGAAGTACACATCTGGGTGAAGGAATGCATTGACCTCCCCCACCTCCGAGGAAACCACCTGAATTCTTTTGTCAAATGGTAACATCGCTCTCAGGGTTGCTTTGCTCTTGGTGCTGTTGTACAACAGGTTTGGGGAGCCAGCTTTATTTTTCTAGATGGTGATCTTGAATCTCATAGACCATAGGTTAAACAAATTTACTTTTTGAGAGATAGTGAAGCATGTACGCAAAGGCTTTATTTAGCATTAAAGTTGGCAAGAGACAAGGTAATTTTGCAAATAATCTTCACCAGCACTTTCCTATACAGCCCACTTTCTGCTAACTATGTCAGTGATCTCCTTTGCAGATTATCTGTGGATGTTTTTCATTGGCCCCTTCGCATACTTGCAGGCCACCTGCCCTGTCAGCCCTGCCAGTGTGAACTTAGGGAAAATAAATACATTTTACTATTGGCTTACATAAAATATAATGGAAATATGGGATGGGGGTAGGGGAGTCATCTAACTCATTTGAAGCAGCCAAGCTGCCACTCTCACTTGTATATGTATACCCAGTGCCTAGCATAGTGCCAGACACATAGTAGGCATGTAATAAATGCTTGTTGATTGATTTTTGTAAACTGTTGGTATTTCCTCCTCTTTCATAGATAATTAAGAAGTAACTATATTATCCTTTCTAAAAAGATCACAATTGCCCCTTGTCTAACACCCCCCCCCAGTCCTATATGCCTATACTGAGTTACATAGCTGTATTGTGAGTAGAAAGGATACAGACACATTGGCTGACTTATGAAATGTGGCCTCACCGTATCATTTCTCTTTGAAGTACCATCCTGCCAGATACAAGTAGGAAAAGTCGTCAGAAGACAAGGGCTGTAGGAAAAACAACCAATCCTCTCTTCAACCACACAATGGTCTATGATGGTTTTAGGCCTGGAGATTTAAAAGAAGCCTGTGTAGAGCTGACTGTCTGGGATCACCACAAATTAACCAATCAGTTTTTGGGAGGACTACGGATAGGCTTTGGAAGAGGTATGACTTCTTACGTTTTGCAGCTTAACATGAGCCAAAAACTCCAGTGGGCTCATAATTTATCAAAATTCATTTTTGTTTTTTTTTCTATTTTTATTTTTTAAAAAAAATTTAAATGAAAATTCATCTTTATTCCCCTCTACCTCCTTCCCTTCCATTGAGAAAGCAAGAAAAACAAAAACCCTATTACAAATATGTATAGGCATGCAAAACAAATTCTCAGATTGGCCATGTCAAAATACAAATAAAAAAGTATATGTGTGTGTGTGTGTGTAGCTATACTTTAAATACATCACCTTTCTTTTAGGAGGTGGGTGGCCTGTTTTCTCATGAGTCCTCTGGAATCATGGCTGGTTGTTGTGTTGATCAGAATTCCTGAAACTTTCAAAATTGATTGTCTTTATAGTATTATTTCTCTGAAACCATGCCCTTCATTATTTCTTGTGGCACAGTGGTGTTCCATCACATACAGATAATAATAACAGATTTTATATAGTGCTTTAAGGTTTGAAAAGTACTTTATAATTATCTAATTTTACTGTCACAACAACCATGGAAGGCAGATACTATTGTTATCTCTGCATCTGTTAAATCACAGTCATGTCTCTGTCCCTTGTAACGGAAAGAACGTTGGATTTGATGTCCACAGACCTGGGATTGCATACCACCTCTGCTACTTACTACCTGTAGGGCCTTGGGCAAGTCTCTTAACCACTGTGGGCTTCTGCTGTCCCATCTGTAAAATGAGGGGGCTGGACTCAGTGAGCACTCCGAGCCCTTTTAGCTTTTGGTCTTCGATTCTGTGATTCTAGGAGGTTGCAGAGAAGGAAGGCAGTGACCTGCATGGGTAGAGTGGAATTCCTTCTACTAAGGAAATCCCAGGTCCCAGCTGTATCCCCAGCTAATTATTACAAAATTCTTCATCCTTCTCCTCCACCTTGGCTCCATGCAAGGTGAGGAGGGGCATGTGGGGTAAGTGTGGAACACTGCAGAGAGTGTCAGATTTTTCAGTGTACTGATTGGTCCTACTGAATTTTTAAAAATTATTTTTAATTTTTTTTAACAGTTTAAACATTGTTATAAGGATTATACCTCTGGGAAAGGAAGGGTAAAGATACTGAGGGAAGTCCAGGTGATGTAAAAACAAAAGATATCAATACAATTATTTTTTTAAAAAAAGAATTCTTTTTTTCACTGAGCTGAAATTTGCCTTTTTGTAACTTCCCCATTATCTGTGCCACAGCGTTCCTCCATTAATGAGGGTAATTGAGAGTACATTGTATGGGTTTAACATGTATTTGTGTTTAACTTCATTTTAACATGCATCTGTATACCTCCCTGGTAGAATGTAAGGTCTTTGAGTGCAGGAAATGTTCTGTATTTTAGTCTCGGTATCTCTGGAGCCTACCGCAGTGCTGGCATATAACTGGTACTTAATAAATGTTTTAACAAATAAAATTGAATATTCTGCTACTTTTAAAAAATGCATCCTTCCGATCTTTCAGGTAAAAGTTATGGGACTGAAGTAGACTGGATGGACTCCACTCCAGCAGAAATCTCTCTGTGGGAAAGGATGGTGAACTCACCCAACACTTGGGTTGAAGACATCCTCCCGCTCCGAATGCTGCTCATAGCCAAGCTGACAAAATAAGAGAGAGCCTCTCAAGGCCCAGGGGCTCCGTGGAAAAACAATATCCTCATTTCCCTGTATTAAAAAGTACAGCACAGGGGGCTTCCCTGGAAATCCCACCACATGGACAAAGACCATCACGTAACTTCCCTTGACGTCCAAGGCATGTCAAACTGCTAACCTGCACGTATCCTCACGCTCCACACCCAGAGGAATTCGAACAGCAAGCAGACATGCAATCAAGACGTCCCTTGAAATTAAAAGAAGCCCCCTAAGTGTGTTGTGATCCACATGAACTAATGATGCTGCTTCAGAGGGAAAGCTGCTGAAGAAATGGGAAATGCGGGTTAGTGTGTTCATGAGCTGATGCTACAGTGCCGTCTTTTCTGTATCTGCCAGGATGGGCTGCATTCCCCCTGTATCTGCTGCTTGATCATCAAGTATTCCCTCATTAGTTATAGATATTTAGGGTATGGAAAGCAGTTGCTAATAAGGGAAGGTAATTAATTATTGTCCTTGTTAAAAAAAAAAAAGCAAGTAAACAACAAGGATAAGGACATTGGTGGGGAGACAAAGGTTGGCCACATGTAAGATGGAAATCTAGTTGTAACTCATAGTCAAAGGAGGGATTCTGTCTTCAGTGATGCTAAATGTTTGAACAGGTTACATACTATCTGGGCAACCTTCATTTTAGACATATTTAGACATACCTATAAGCATATGGAGGTTCCTTGAGGGCTTAAAAAAATCTTAGAAGTATGGTGGTGCCACCCACTGGACACAGACGGAACTTCAGCCAAAGTTTTACTCAAATAGGTCTAAAAGACAAGTTTTATAATAGCATATGTAAAACACTGATCCTGTAAGGTTCTGGCCTTCCTGTAACTGGGCTAAGTGAAAGCAATGTATTTTGGTTATAGATATGCTTAGGATTAGAATTTAATTGCTAAATTATACCGTTCTTGTTTCCTGTGTATGTGTAATTTTAATATTGTATTTTATAAAACCTTTAGTCTTCAAAATAAATTATAACAAGACTTCATTTGTACCTTGCCTTTGGTCAGTTAGCTTATCCTTTCATTTGTATTGAAATCTTTGATGTTTTCAGTCCCAGAATTCAAATTATCCACCTGGAGTGGGAACAAGGGGGTGAAGATGAAACCTAGTTTGTTACCTGTCCAGCATTCCAGAAAGCGCAGTGGAAGGGTTTACTAGCTTTTGATTGGGAGGTTGGGGGATGGAGGGATTGGGAGGGGTGGGAATAAAGGAGCAGTCAGTGGGGGGATGGAGATTTGGGTTTGAAGAATGTCGACCAGAGTTCAGAATCACTGAGATGGGATGGGTATTTCGGAGTGGAACTATGTTACTCTTTGAAGATGGGTTTAGATTAGTTATCATTGTCCAGAAGGAGTCCTCCTTGGATGAACTTGTCCCAGGGTGTCTCTCAGCAGTGCGTGGCTGGCAATCTAGGGGAAGGAACAGATGTGGAGGATGCCCAGAAAGGGGCAAGGGAAGTCCTGTGGAGCTGTAGGCGACAAGAGAGGGTGGCTACCTGGAGCATGGTGGAATGGTGAAGAATAGAGACCTTCCTTTGATTGGGAACCTCCCTTCTCCTGCTGCACACGTCCTCTAAGAGAAAGTGGTAAGGGGCCAGGCTGACTCACATCTTCCACAACAGGACTTCTCCTCGTGCTTAAGATTTCTACTCCCTGCCACACCTGCCTGATCTCCCAGCGCAGGATGCTAGGGGACAGCCAGGGTGATTTCCACCTCCTGCTGTATCTGTCAGCCTAATGTCCTGCCTCCTTCAGGGTAGAGAGTCTGCAGGGAAAGGAGTGACTTCCCCTCTGATCTCAGGCCTTCCACCCCCTGCTGCACCTGTCCTCTGAGTGAAGAAGAGAACAGATTTGACTTCTATCTCCCGCTGCTACATCTCTTACCTAATCTCTAATCTTTGAAGGAAAGAGGAGAGAAGCAAGGCCTTCCATCTGATCCTATGCCTTCCATTTCCTGCTGCATTTTCATCCTGCCTGACTCCAGCTTTTGCCAAGAGGAGTAGCACCTTCTACTCAGTGATGCCCATACATACACCTGAAATACCCTACACGCTCCAGTTATTCTGAACCTCTGGAGATCATCATCCAAGCCCATCCCCCATCCCCTACCGCCCAACCCTTTATTCCTACCCCCTCAACTGTTCCACCCCTCATACTGTGTCCTCTGGAATTCCCAGGCAATAAACATCCCTTCATTCATCCCTTCCCACTCCTTCCACCTTTTAGCAATCACTGAGCCCTGGCTCCCTCTGATATTGCAGCCTCCCTGGCCACCCTTTCCAGTCCTAGCTGCGCCTTCACTCAGTATTCTGTGCTCCCTGAGTGAGGAGGGGGAGTTGGATACTCCTCGCTCCCCATTGCTGCTTCTAGGTTCTCCCTCTAGTTCCATCACTCAGTAACCTCACCCTCTTTCAGATCCACGCTATAGATATCTACTACCCAATCAAAATCCTGGTAGCTGTTGTCTACAGACCTCCAAGTCACTCCCCTCCTCAACTAGTTCAGTACCTGGCTCACAATTTTTCTCTCCTCCCCAATTCCTGTCCTCATACTAGGGGACTTCAATGTAAATATTGAGCCTTCCCTCAAATACCCTGATCTCTCAATTCCTCAACGTACTCACTTCCTATGAGCTACTCCTCCACTCCAGCCACACACAAAAATGGTCATACTCTTGATCCTGCCATCATCCACAAATGCACCACCTCTGTGTTCAGTTCCCAAATCCCTTGTCTGATCATAATCTATTGGCTTTCCGCTTCTCCATCTGCCTTCCATTGCATAACCTATTCTTCATCCTTTGACCTCTCAGTTCTCTCCCAGGTCATGACTCCTGCACTAGCCACTCTTTTTTTGTTTTCTGCATCTTGACTTTTCAATGAAAGAGTTCTTCTCTGCACTGTCGTCTTCTCTTGAATCTATGGCCCCCTTGTAACATTAATTGTGCCCTGCCAAATTTCAACCTTGGATAACTGCCACCATGTGCTGCTTTCACTCCTACATACATGCTGAATGAAGGTAGAGAAAATTGCACAACCATTCTGACTAGGTCCACTAGAAATTTATGTTATACAATCTCAAGTGGGCCCTCACTGCTGCTAGGCAATCCTACTCATCTCCTTTATCAACTCAGTATCCCACTCCCCACAGTGGCTCTTCCAAAACTTTTCATGCTTCCTCAAACCAAAGTTATCAGTGATCTAATTGCCAAATTCAATGACCTTTTCTCAATCCTCATTCTTCTTTATCTCTTTGAAGCCTTTGATACCCTATTCTCCTTAATATGCTCTTCTGTCCAGGTTTTCAGGACACCACTCATGATTATCCTACCTATCTGACTACTCTTTATCAGTCTTCTTTGCTGGATCCTCATCCAGGTCATGCCCGCTAACTATAGGTGTCCCACAGGGCTCTGTCCCAGGCCCTTTTCTTTTCTCCCTCTATACTACACTTGGCAATCTCAGCTCCCATGGATTCAGTTATCAATTCTGTGCTGATGATTTTCAAATCTCCCTATCCTGCCTCAGTTGCTCTATTGACCTCTAGTCTCACATCTCAAACTACCTATTAGACACCTCAAATTGGATGTCTTGTAGACATCTTTAGCTCAACATGTCCCAAACTGAACTCATCTTTCCTCCTAAACCCTCCCCGCTTCAATCTTCCCCATCCCTGTCAAAGGCACCACCACCATCTTCTCATTGTCTCAGGCCCACAGCCTAAATGTTATCCTCAACTCTTCATGATCTCTCACTCCCTATATCCAGTCTGTTACCAAAGCCTGTTGATTTCACTTTGCACCATCTCTTATATAGGCCCCCTTCTCTGATTGTGTCACTCCCCTGATGCAGGCCCTCATCACCTCATGCCTTGACTATTGCAACAGCCTGCTGATATGCCCCTGCCTAAAGTCTCTTCCCTCTCCAGTCCATACTCCATTCAGCTGCCAAAGTGATTTTTTTTGTTGTTTTTGTTTTGTTTTTGGTGAGGCAACTGGGGTTAAGTGACTTGCCCATGGTCACACAGTTAGTAAGTGTCATGTGTCCGAGGCTGGATTTCAACTCAGCTCTAGCCACTGTGCCACCTAGCTGCCCCGGACAAAGTGATTTTCTTAAAGAGTGGTGCAACCACGTCTTTCTACTCAATAAATCCCAGTGGTTCCCTATTGTCTCTAGGATCAAATACACAATCTTCTGTTGGCATTCAAAACTTTTTATACCCTATGTTCCCCTCCCCCACTTTTCCAGTCTTCTTCTTCCATACCTCTCACCCTTCAGTCCAATAACACTGCCCTCCTTGATGTTCCACAAACAAGAAACTCTGTCTCTTGGCTCTGGGAATTTTCTCTGATTGTCTCTCAAGCCTAGAATTCTCTTCTTCTTCCGCCTTCTGGCTTTCCTGGCTTTGTTCAAGTCCCAATTAAAAGCTCTTCTCCTATAAGAAGCCTTTCCCAACCCTTCTTAATTCTGGTGCCTTCCCTCTCAATTATTTCCTACTTATCTTGTTTGTACATATTTGTTTACCCGTCTCTCCCTTTAAATTGTAAGCCCTTGAAGAAAGAGACTATCTTTTACAAACTCTTTTTGTGTCTCCAGCACTTAACATAATGGCTAGTGCATAATAAGTACTTGATAAATGTTTATTGACTAACTGGTTAATAAACCCAGACTCCAAAAAGCAGGCTGTGTGGAGATGCAGATGACTAGAAAGTGTGCCTTACTGGATTGAGATGAAAAAGAGAGGAAGTAACTCTTATAACTCAAGAAATAACTATTTTTGAGAGGAAATAACTCTACTTATTCTCTTATGCCTCTTCTAGAGTGTATTGGTGGATGAGAGGATTTTTCTTTCCTCCCCTCACCCCCATCATCAGTTGTTTTTCCTTCCTTTTCAAAGAGGATCAATGACATTACAAGGGATGTTTTGACTTGCTTGTGAACTGGATTTAAGTGAGGCAGAGTTGCGTAAAGTAGTCAGCCTCATTCTCTCTTCTCAAGTCATCAAAGTCCAATGGCAGGACAAAAGTCAAGATGACCTGTGATGGCCTCAGATGCTGTGAATGACCTTGGCATCTTTGATGCCCATTGACCTCTAGGTACTCCTGCTTCAGCCACCTTCGTGGCCATTGGAACAAATTGTTCTATTGTGCCAGGGAAAATCTTTACTGGTTGGAGTAGACATCCCCCTAAGTCACCAACAAGTTTGAGGCCTGTCAATTACCCTCAACCTGGTTTAGGCCATCTGCTGAGACAGTTCTCCAGGGTGTAGCCACAGTGCATGCTACAGCTTCTTGGGGCCACAGGTGACAGTTGGGTGAAGGTGGACACCAAAGGTGGGGCTTAGTGAGCCCTCACACCAGAGGTACATCTTGCTAAAAAGTAACTCACCCAGTAGGAGACAACATACTCTGGAGAGAGCAGGCCTAGAGAGCCCAACAGGGTAACCTGTTTGAAAGATATGCTGCTACCTGGAATCACTGAAAGAAAAACAAAGACTTTAGAACACTGCAGTGCAATAGGTGTGAATTGACTTGGCCATTTGCACCCCCTCAGTATGTGCTTTTCTGCTAGTGTAATTAATCTGTGGGTGTGTCTGCTCTTCCCACTGACATTTGTTTGTATTTGTGGAATAGTATACCCCAGAAGTCTATGGGGGTAGTGCTCATAACTTCTATTCTTACAATGCTATTTCAATAAATGCCTTTGCTTTAAGCTGATTGAGTCCTCTGGCTGAATGGTGAAGGTAAGTGCATCAGTAGGGGCTCATGTGCTATAGTTTTAGAAGTGAAGACTTATGAAGTACCTTGAACCTGGGGAAGTTGTCCACTAGGCGACCCAACCTACAAGCATAAATCAAGAAGGTGGTTAGATAAAAGGGGGCACTTTAATCTCTTTTCAACTTTCCCAGCAGGACAGACTTTATCAAATGCAATTTCCCTACATTGATGAGTCAAGTAATCCAATTATTTAAGAAGAGAAAAATGACATTAGTCTGGCATGGCTAATCTTGATAAACCCAGGCTGACTCTTTTTGTTCCCTGCTTCCTCTTCTAAATATTCACTAACTCTTCCTTTAATAATACATTTATATAGCACTTGAGTTAGGCTCTAAGCCAAGAAAAGAAATGACCAGAGGGATATTTCTGGGTGTGAGAGCAACCAGTTCAAGCTATTGAAAGGTTGCCTGGGAGAGCAGGAACCTAGGAGTTGTGCCTAGAGCAAAGACAGTGTGACACCCTGCTTTTCTTCACGTAGGGATAACATACAGCAATTGATTCCCTTTGTAGAGACACAGGACTTCAGGTTAACAGGTCTTTGTGAAGAGGAACAAAGGTTTGGATGACAGTGAAAATGAGACCTCTAAACTTAAATATTCATGAAGCCTACCCTAATGCCCATAGGTGTGGGTAGCATATTTTATTAAAGAGTGTACCCATGGAACTTTGTTTAATGTAAACATTGATTGAATCTTCAGTAATAAAAGATATTATTTTTCTTGATCAAATTAAAGAAAGAAAAACAACTAAAATTATTTTTTTAAAGAATTGCTAAAATTTGTTTTTAAAAAGCAAATTTTGGGGGCAGCTAGGTGGCGCAGTGGATAGAGCACTGGTCCTGGAGTCAGGAGGACTTGACTTCAAATCCGGCCTCAGACACATAACACTCACTAGCTGTGGGACCCTGGGAAAGTCACCAACCCCATTGCCTAGCAAAAAAAAAGCAAATTTTGCAAAGGGCCCTGTTAAATTAAATGTTTCTTAACTTAAAATACAGAAGAGTCTTTTCAACTTTGTCTTCTTGGTTAAAAAAGTCCCTTTTCTAATACCAGACCGTGCTGCACTGTCACCACACTGCCAGCGGTGGAGTTTAAGGACTAATACCAGGAGGGCTACCTTTTTAAACCTTAAAATTTTGACTTTGTTGCCTTCTATGTTCGAAGCAAACAGAGGCCTGGAGTTACCAACTGCAGTCTGAGCCACATTAAAAAAGTGGCTTAAGCATTAGAGAAGGGGAAAAAATTTATTGAGATAATTTTGGCCTGACTGTAATAGGCTGGAGTCCTGGAAGCAGCAGAGGGCCTCCTGGGATGGGAAGGAGGAGGGCAAACACCCCACTTGCTGAACAGGACCTGGGATGTATCTGCAGAAGTGTCATCTGAGCAGGAGAGGTAGCCCTGCTGAGAGTCTGAAAGGTCCTATGGGGACTTTTCATATTATCAACTGAGTCACTAACCAAGTCTTCCTCCTGCTCCAGAGCCTTTCAGAAACAATGAAGGGCAAGTGAGGGGGCCCTAGAGGAAGGAAGCAGCAGTAGAGGCAATGGCTACAGCACCCAGGGGTTCCCAGAGACAGCCTCCCCCCCAATAACATGGACAGCCCCACTGCCATGAAAGTGCTGCTGGCACATTGGATTGGGCATTCAGGCACACCCTTATCCATGCCTGTGCTAATGTCCCAGTCTAAATGTGCTGTCTTCCTCCTCAAATTCCTTAAAACACTTTGGCTCTTGCATCTGCCCCCATCATTTACCAGCTTAATATTAGATGTATCTGTGTACATCAAGTGCCTATTACATAATTTCATTTAATAAATATTTGTTGATTGACTAAAACTCCCTTTTCTATCTCAAGCTCCTCAGCACCTTTCTGATACAGAGGGTGCTTATATATCGAATTAAATTGAATTGAATTGTTTTCTCTAGGTCCAGGGAGCTCAGAGAGACCTTTGCTAGGCTAGAGGTAGAATCAAGGTGGAACTGGAAAGAACAAGTTGACTTTACAATTTAGCACAGCAGAGCTCTTAAGCTGAAAATGACTTGGTTCATAATTGTGTTGTATGATATATATATATATATATATATATATGCTGTCAAGTCAATAAATATTTATTAAGTGCTTACTATGTGCCAGGCACCGTGCTAAGTGCTGGGAATACAAATACAAACAGAAAGACAGTGGCTGCCCTCAAGAAACTTACATTCTAATGGGGAAGAGGACACCTAAAAGGAAGCTGAAAGGGGATGGGGGGAGTGGGGGGGGAGTGGGGGGAGTGGGGTACCCATCTCCAGGCAGAGTAGGGAAAGTTCAGAGAGTCCAGAATGCAGCCTGTACATGTGGTTGGCAAAGCTTCCTTTCCAGGCTTTGATTCTTCCCTCCATCTACGAATGTTCAAACATGAAAAGTATATTAAGCACTGTTTTTATCTACAGGATATTTTAAAAGTTATAATCTTGGCTCGGAGCTCAGTTACTACTTAATAGTTAGACATTATAGAGTATCAAGGAACTTGATACGTTTTCCAAGAAAGAAAGGAGGAAAGGGCCGGAGAAGATTTATTACATCCAGTTTGCTTTGTTTATTCCTGGTGAGGAGCAAGGCTGTCAGCTTTCTTTCCATAGCAGTTGGCTGGTAATTGAGTTAATGAGTGAATGACAGGCAGAGCTAAGAGCTGGGGCTAGGTGAAAAGCCAAGACCAACTGGCCACAGTTGTCTTTGTAATGTCTCAGCCGTGCCTTCATTACATCACAACATTCTGAGCTTTTCAACCAATCATAGAGCTCCCCAAAGGATAATAAAAACAGTTTGAAAGTCCAGAAGCCTCCATAGCAACACTAAACATCCTTTGAAATTGCTGCAACTAGACACTGAGCTGAGAGCACCGTTTTAGGGAGCTAGTGCTCTTATGCCTCAGAAAGAGAAAGCTCCCCAAATGAATTCTTCTACCTCACCCTCCAAAGTCACAGGGGTGGAAAACACATTAAAAGAGCCAGATGATGATGATATGGAGTGCAAAGAGCTAGAAGGTTTGAAAGAAGCCTTGGAGAACCTCCGCGGGCTATCTAGTGAAGAAAAAAATGAAAAAGCTATGTTACGTTCCCGCCTCCAGGAGCAATCTCAACTCATCTGCATCCTGAAGCGCAGGGCTGATGAGACGCTAGAGCGCTGTCGAGTCCTGGAGCAGCTCAACACGGAGCTGGAGGAGAAAAGGATGAATGACGCGGAAAGCCTGGAGGCCCAGACCCAGCGCACGCTGAAGCTGGAGGCCCGCTTCATGGACCTGGCCGCCAACCACGAGGAGATGATCCGCTTCAAGGACGAACACAAGAGGCAGAATGTGAAACTGAGAGAGGAGAACGAAATCCTGAGGAGGGAGAACAAAGAACATTTCAGCCAGGCCCTGAAGGACCAGGAGGCCAAAGTGTGTCAGCTCACAGCCCAGGGAGAAAAACTGTCCAGAGAGCTAGAGGCCCTGAAGGGGAAATGTGCTGAAGACACCAGCCGAGCCAAAGCCCGAGAGAAGGAGCTGATGGACCTGCAGTGCCAGCAGGCCAACTCCCACGCGGAGGAAACCAGCTCCCTCCAAAGCCAGCTCCAGACTCTGGAGGAGCTGCACCGGAAAGCCCTGGCGAAGATGGCCAAGGCGGAGGAGAAGCAGAAGGGCTTGAGCTCCGAGCTGAGCAGCCAACTGGAAAAAGTGACCAAGGAGAAGGAGGAGCTGCTGCAGCTCTCCATGGAGAGGGGCAAAGTGCTTCAGAACAAACAGCTGGAGATCCAGCAGCTGGAGGAGAAGCTGGAGATGGCGGAGACAGCTCGAAAGAACGCGCTGGATCGTTTTGAGCAGGAAGCTGCCACCGTGAATAGCAGCCTGAGAGTTCAAGAGCTGAGCCGCAAGGTGGAGAGAATCCAGAAGGCCTATGATGAGCTCTGGTTGCAGTCTGAAGCCTTCAAAAAGCACAGTCTGGATCTTTTAACCAAGGAGAGGGAACTCAACGCCAAACTCCGGCACCTCTTTCCATAAGGCGAGCCTTGTTGCTCCTGCCGACCTCAACCAAAATATGTTTTCTTCTTTACTGGAACAGTAGCCAGCCTTCCTTTTATTATATTTCTATTACATAAAGAACAGTCTTGAGACCCACTTCATTGTCACGACTTTTGTTGTTCCATCATTCAATTTTTGGTTCCACCACCTAGAATACACAGTTTTGTTAGATGTCATTTGTTTGCCTCTAAAATTCGATCCTCTTCAGAGCTCCTTCCCTCTCCCTGACTTGTGTCAGGGTCTTTACAGGCTCCTGGAAATTCATTTTCAGCCTTTGAGATGTCAGTGGGTGGGACTTTCACCTGGCTACAATCTCGAGGGATGTAAAATTATTCTTTGTGTGCAATGATATTTTCTGTTTCAAAAATGAAGATTCACACCTTTAATATCTACCTAGGGAGGTTTTGATGGCTATATGTCTAGTCTATCTTCCTTAAGTCATATTACAAGTGCATCTGCTGTGATGCTGTGTCACTAATGCCTGTGGGAGAGAGCAAATACTGTTAAGTTCCTCCCCCCACCCCAGTAGGCAGACCTCACCACAGTCAATCTGTATAAGAAGTGTAGTTCACATTAGTAAAATGGGTTTATTTCTCAGTTAGTTTATAACTTAGTTCTTAATTATTTTTTTCTTTAATAGAATATTCAAATGGGAAATACTGCAAAAAGCTGCAAATTGGTTTAATATTGCCAACACAATATGCTAATGGGAGAAGGAATTTAATAATTGAAGTACCGGGAATACAAATTTCTGTATTTTGGTTGTCATGGCAGACTTCTTTTGTGAGATCATAAGTTTTATTACTGTTGACTATACTATGCTTATTATACATTAGGCTTAGGTTTTTTTCTTTTCTATTAGTATACTTTCTTCCATTGAAATGTTTAGTTTTTTTAAAATCAAAACAAAATTCATACTTATGTATTTGGAGTACTATGCTTTGGAGATATCTGGACAACCACAGAACTATAAATAAACAGTATTGTTATACATACATCTTGGAAATTTCATCAGTGTCTTTCAAGTATTTATTTACATGTATATTTCCCTATATCCGTGTAATCAGACAAATTAATGTTATTTCTAGGCATTATAATGAATACACCTTAATTTATTTTATAGTATTTTTCTAACTCCCCACACCACCCCACACCTTACAAGGTTGGCTTATCAGTATAAACTTTCTATAGCACCAAAGATTGCCAACTATTCCATGTTTTGTAGACAGCATTGTTTAATAATAACTTAATAAATAAATGTCCAGAAGTTCCAGGAAATACAAGTTTATATACTTTATTTTTAACCATATTTCCCAAACTATTATATATCAACACTATTCACTCTCCCATTTTTCCAGAAGGATTCAGGAAAATAAATACTCTGTCAATAACCAGTTTGCATGAAGAGCTATTTCTATACAGGGTGTCTCAGAGTGCAGTTAACTGCACTGACTTCTGGGATATCTTGTCTGTCTTTTTACATCACAGCGTAACAATGCCAGAAAGCAGAATGAGGCAACAGTACAAATGTAGCTCTTTGTTGAAGCTCTACATAAAATGGTGAATCAGGCAGGTTAGGTAGCACTAGTATTGGGGTAGAGCTAGCTTAAAAGTTGCCATCAGCTGACCCCAAAGTATGTCAGTCTATTAATACCTCCTGAGTTTCAGGTGCAGACAGTATAAATCAATCTCTTTAAGCTAAGTAATAATTTATTTTTAAAAAAATGATTTATTGATGTATTGAAGATGTCTAACTATAAGCACTTCATTGATTACACCTATTTGGAGGACAGGAATGAAAAGCCTGGTGGAATTTTAAGATTAACAGAAGTTGGAGGTGAATTGAATACATTGGAACATTTCTAATCACCTGATCTTTCTCCTTCCTGCCCATATTACCCTTCCCTCTAACCCCTAGTTTTATCCTCTGCCATGAGGAACTGACAAATTTCTGATAAGGGTTATCATGCCTATTCATTTACCCCAGCCAATCTACTTTCATTCTTCTCCTACCTTAGTTAGTATTCTATAACACTTTACCAATGTGGCATTGTAAATAGAGTTTAGTGACCATCTAGTCCTACTCCCTATCCAAAATATGCCCTCGAAAACCTCCCTAACAAATGGGATATTTAGTCTCTAAAAAGATGTGGTTGATGTCAACTCTGCAAATACAGTGTGTTATTTATGTGCCTGACATGAGACAGTAGTACACATAGAGGCAGTTGTATGTTCATTCAAGAATTATTTATTGAGCACCTTCTATGTGTAAGTTATACAACACCATGCCCTTCTTGATTCCAAGTTCCTTAAGCAGAGTAATTGCTAAAAGGCATAGTAGAGAGAGTACTGGACAGGAATTTAGGAAGACCTGAGTTCAGATCCAGCCTTAGACACTTTACTAAGTGTGTGAAACTCTCAGCATGTCACTTAAACTTTATCTTCCTCAGTTTCCCCATCTGCAAAAATTGAGACAATAAGAGCACCTATCTTCTAGGGTTGTTGCAAGTATAAAATAATATTTGAAAAGCTCTTTTCAAAGTACTTACTATGTAAATGCTAGCTATTATAATATTGTTATCATCTCTCTCCTTAGCTCTTAATATGATGCCTTGTAATAGAGTATGTGTTTAATGTTTGTGGAAGTAAATTATTGCTTCAATATTGCTTCAAGTCTAAAAGGGAAGATAAGATCTACATAAAAGAAACCAAAACTTTAGTTATAATGCCAGATACAATGTAGAATTGCAAGAAAGAGAGGTATGAAAGTTAAGAAGACTGAAAAGATCTCTAACTTTGACTTCCTTTCTTATTGTTTATCCTTCATTCTCAAAGAGGACCAATGACATCACAAAGGTGAGGTCTTGACTTGTGGGTGAATTAGATTTAAGTGAAGCAGAATTGTACAAAGTTGTCAGCTCACTCCTTCACAGTCATCAAAATGCAGTGGCAGGACAAAAGTCAAGATGACTGACATTGGCCTGGGATGCAGTGGATGACCTTGGCCTTTCTAAATTAAGGTCTTTCCCAGGCCAGAACCAAATCTCCAGTGTAGCCAACTGGTTATCTTCACCTGGGCATTCTGCCAGCCTTAAAACTAAGTTTGTCCAAACTCCAACTTTCCCTCTCTACCTTAGAACATGGTCATTCTTCTGATTTCCCTATTTCTCCTCATTAAATTCTTTATGAATTCTCTTCATCAGTCACACCCATTCCGGAAATGTTACTCATTTCTGACGTCTCTTTCTCCCTTATCTCACAAACTTAATCAGCGATAAATCTTAGGTTTCAAAGGGCTGTCTGTCAGATGCCATCTAGTCCATCCCCTGGCACATAATTCTATGTCAACAAGCAATCATATATATTGCCTCTTCTTGAACTCTGCCAGAGACAGGAAACTCACTGTTTTATGGTAGTCTGTCATCTTTGTGGACAGTCTTAATTGTTGCTAATTAGAGAATTTATTCTCTGGAAAAGATCTTACAGATCATATAGGCCAGGGGTTGGCAAACCGCTTCCCTGACCCACTGCTTGTTTTTGTTTCCCCAAGAGATAAGAATTTTTTTTTTACATTTTAAAGTTTTGTTATATTTTAAACACCATCAGGCACCATCAGGATTTGGCCATTTGGCTATAATTTGCCAACCCCTGATCTATACCACCCACCTCAATTTTATAAGGAAACTGAGGCCCAGAGAAGTTAAATGACTTGCCCAAGGTCACACCCAAATCATTTTTGTTGTTGTTGCTCTTACCCATTTTCTTTTTTTTTCTTTTTAAATAATATTTTCTCTAATTACATGTAAAGATAATTTTTAACATTCATCTAAAAAATTTTTTTGAGTTCCAAATTTCCTCCCTCCCTCCCTTACTTTCCCCCCATAAGCAATTTAATATAGGTCACATATGTGCAATCATGTAAAACATTTTCATATTAGTCACATTGTGAAAGAAACGGACCAAAAGGCAAAAAAAATGAAAAAAAATAAAATGAAAACAGTATGTTTTGATCTGCATTCACACTCCATCAGGTTTTTCTCTACGTATGAACAGCATTTTCCATTTGGAATTATCTTGGATCACTGTATTGCTGAGGAGATCTAAGTCTGTCATAGCTGATCATCCCACAATGTTGCTCTTACTGTATATAATATTTTCCTGGTTCTGCGCACTTCACTTTGCATCAGTTCAGTTAGTGTTTCCAGGTTTTCCTGAAATCTTCCTGTTCATTTCTTATAGCACAATAGTATTCCATTTAGTATAGTATATCACAACGTGTTCAGCCATTCCCCAATTGATGAGCATCCCTCCAATTTCAAATTATTTGCCACCACAAAAAGAGCTGCTATAAATTTTTTGTATATATAGGTCCTTTTCCATTTGTGTGACCTCTTTGGGGTATAGACCTAGTAGTGGTATTGTTGGATCAAAGGGTATGCACAGTTTGGTTGCCCTTTGGGTATAATTCCAAATTGCTCTCCAGAATGGTTGGATCAGTTCACAACTACACCAACACACACACAGTGCATTAGTGTCTTAATTTTCCCACATCTTCTCCAACATTTGTCATTTTCCTTTTCTGTCACATTAGCCAATACCCAAATCATGTTAAACCCAAATCTGCCTGATGGTAGCTTACTCTCATTTTCTCTTACTTTTACAGACCACTTTCCATTCCCATTGTTACCGTTCTAGTTTAAATCATTATCTTATTACCTGAACTATTGCAACTAATCTAAAAAAAAAATTAAGTGCTTAATATGTTCAAAGCACTGGGTTAGATGCCAAGGATATAAAAAGAAAATGAAAAATCCATCCACCAAATGATTTATATTCTCCTTAGGACGTATCATATGAAAACATTTAAGTCTATATTTTGTCTACATCAAGAATTTATGAAGTGACTACTGTATGTCAGGGACTGCATTAGACACTAGAAATACAAAGACAAAAATGAAATAGTTCTTGCCCTCAGGGAGCTTATATATTGCTGGGAGGAAACAAATATAAAGACAAGTCAATATATATATTTTTTCTTGTTGGAAAGTATGATTTCGTTGGTATAGGAAACTTCCAGAGAGGAAACTCACTGTGCC